ATTAGAGATATAGAGAATATATAGAATATCTTCTCCTAAATATGTTAGAGATATATAAAATATCTTCTCCTATATATGTTAGAGATATACATAATATCTTCTCCTATATATGCTAGAGATACATAGAATATCTTCTCCTATTTATATTAGAGATATAGAGAATATATAGAATATCTTCTCCTATATATGTTAAAGATATATAGAATATCCTCTCCTATATATGTTAGAGATATATAGAATATCTTCTCTTATATATGATAGAGATCTATAGAATATCCTCTCATATATATGTTAAAGATACATAGAATATCTTCTCCTATTTATATTAGAGATATAGAAAATATCTTCTCCTATTTATGTTAGAGATATAAAGAATATCTTTTTCTATATATATCTATATATCTTAATCTCTATAGAGAATATCTTTTCCTCTATAAATAGTGCAAAAAAAAAAAAAACAAGAAATATCCTTTTTAAGGCCTTTACAAACTTTGTATACTTTCCCTTCGCTTTTTTTCGTTTCTTTTGCTGGCGGGAAATAGGCTCACACACACACACCGTAAATGAGCGAATGAGCAGGCGACACACACACACACACACACACCCATATATACATATTCATGTATGCAAAAATAAGTACAAAAAAAAGTAAAAAAAATTGTGTGTGTGCTCGCAAAGCCCCGAACGACATGCTAAAATTTGTATAGAAAATTAGTTAAAAAATTACTCCGCAGACACGCGCACGCATATTGGGGGGGGTAGTGGGGTAGAAGGGGGGTATACCTCACTTTACATATGCGCACACACACACACATACACCCACACACACACACTCTTGTGTGAGAGAGACACCAAGTGGCAGTCATTGCACGAGTTAGACACAGTTGGCATTAGTGGGCGGTGTTAGAAAGTGCGCGCATCCCCCGCTTAGCCTCCACACCCCTTCCCCCTTCCCCCTTCCCCCTCCTCCCTCTTACTTTTACCTACACCCACACACACACACCCACACACACACCCACTCGCCTGGGCCATGTACAATTTTAATGTTTAGAGTCGCTCGCGCTTAAAGTTTGTCATAAAGCACCCCATTAAAAAAAGGGCGAACAGCGAACCTAATGGAGCAGGGGGAGGGGTACATACTCTGAGGAGGGGGGAGGGGTACATCAAGCTTAGGGGGGGGGGGTTACACACCACCAAAGGGGGGGGGATCCTTCCTTTTGGTAAGGACGAAAAACCAAGAGAGCCAGAAAGAGAGCTCCATCAAATTAAATACAAATGCGAATTAGAAAAACTTTTTCCCCGTTTTTCCTTTTTTTTGGTTTTTTGTTGTTTTTGTTTTTGGCTCCACACACACACACACTCACACACACACAGAGAGAGCTTTGTGTACATATGAAAAATTAAATTGGCTGCTGCCGGCTTCGCCGTCGACTGTCACTAACAGACTAGCGCGAATGCTAAAGAGGCAAAGACTAGCAGGGGGGGGGGGGGTGTGTGTGTGCGTGTGTGGGGTGTGTGGCATACGCACATGCCAGCAGAAAAGCAAAAAACTTTTGCCAAAAAAAAGAAGGAGGATGCCGCCAGGATGTGAAGAAAGGCAAAGGGATTTGGTAAGATGGGTAGAAAAAAAAAAGGTAAGGAGCAGGAGATAGGGGTAGCCAAGGAACACGGAGGGGGAGGGGGAGGGGGAAGAGGGAACCAAGGGGGGTACAAGACAAGTTAAAACAAACACAAGACGAGTCAAAGCAAGCAAAAGAAGCCTTGGCAGCAGCTCCAAGGAGCAAGCATTGCAAAGGAAAAAGGACCTGTCAAAGTCGCTGTCGAAGACAACTCTGAAATGATGACGATGATAATTTTGATGAAATGATGAATGCACTTTTCACAGAGCCTAAGGGAAAATCAACTCTTTTTTTGTAGAGTGTATAGAAAATGTAGTATAAAAAATAAAACAAATTGTTTAAAATATATTTCTGTAAGGCAACATTTTAAGTAATGCTAATGATAAACTAGAAAGATCTAATTATTATAATCTAGATAAAGTATAAGGATTATGCTAACGGACAAAAAAGGAAAGATAAATAGATAAAAGGTTTAAAAGGACATAAAATTAAAAGGAAAAACGAAAACACAGAGAAACTTATAAGTAGTCAACAACTAAACTTGAGCTTCAACTAAAGCTAGATAAAGTTTATAGATTAAATAGATCATAAAAGGACTGTCCGTTTGTCCGTCAGTACCCTTTTCCTGCCGGACAAAACTAATAACTTTGACTAGAATTCAGACCAAAACTATTATTACATAATTTAAAATTTCCAGATCCTATAATATCAATCAGAAGCTTTAAAGAAAGTGAAGGAATCATTTCCGACCCCATAAATTATATATATTCTTGATCAGCATAACAAGGCGAATCTTTCTAGGCATAAAAAAGAAAAACTAATTTTTGAAAATAAATTTCAGTTTTTTTTACCCTTTTTTTCATTGTTAGCATTATGAAAAATCGTAAAAAATTCAAATAGTTTAAATATTCAATTTTGGTATGCAGATTTATTAACCTTTTAAAAACTAGAACAGAACAGCTTTCCGAATTGCAATTAATACATTTTAGGCTTAGTTATGAGATTTTTAAATTTTGATTTGTCATAAAATTTTCATATAAAAATATAAATAATTTCGAATAAAAAATGGTAATGGACCTTCAGTCAGAAGCTTAAAAGAAAGTGAAGGATTCATTTCCGACCCTATAAATCATATATATTCTTGATCAGCATCTACAGGCGAATCTTTTAAGCCATCTCAGGCAGTCAAAAAAAATTTTAATTTTTTTTAACATTTTTTAAGGGTTTATAATTGTCAAAAAAAAAATCAAAAATTTTCATAATTTTTACATTTTGAATGGAATATGCAGATTGATTAACCTTATAAAAACTAATATAGAACAGCTTTCCGAATTGAAATTAATGATTTTTTGGCTTAGTTATGGATTTTTTAAGCTTGGATTTGTTTAAAAAAAATTATCTATTAATTCTAATACTTCTCCTCCTACTACTATTTCTCCTCCTACTACTACTTCTATTTCTACTGCTACTTTTCCTCCTATTACTGCTTCTCCTACTACTACTACTTCTCTTCCTACTACTATTACTTCTATATCTACTACTTGTATTACTCCCTATTACTACTCTTTTTACTACTTGTACAACTACTACTTATACTACTTTTACTACAATTACTTCTTCGATTACTCCTCCTATAACACCTTCTACTATTGCTATCCCTACTTCTATCCCTATTACTTTCCCTACTACTTTCCCTATTACTTTCCCTATTACTATCCCTACTACTATCTTTTCTACTCTCTACTCCCCTCCTATAACCCCCTCTCCCTTCTCTCTCTCTAAAAGAACACCCCAAATATTTTCGCTGCGTAGAGCAGAGCGTTCCAAAAAATGTTAAATTATTTGGCAAACCTTATAAGGGGGGAGCGCAAGGTGGTTTGGGGAAAAGTGGGAGGAAAAGCGGGTGGAAAAGTGGGGGGGGGCACAACGCACAAATTAAAAAATAAGCTTTCAAGCAGAGGTGGCAGTGTAGGGTAACAACAGGGGCGTAGAGGAGGTAGGGAGGGAGTACTGTACAGGGAGAGGAGAGTACGCACCACAACGCACTTTTTCCCATACAAATACATTTGCAATTTATGTACCTTTTACTTTTCTTTCTTTCTTTTTTTTGTCATTTTTTGTTGTTGTATCCTGTTGTTGTTGTTGCTGGCGCGAAATAATAAAAAGGGAGCACCACACACACTCGCTCACACACACACATGTGTGTGTGTGTGTGATGGCGTAGGCTGTGTGTTCGACAGTGTTCTATATGCTTACATATTCATATGCGAAAAAGCGAGACAGGAAAAGCGGAGAGTTTACATAAGCTTTCCCAAGGAATGGGGACTGTTCAACTCAACTTTCTTTGCATACTCTTTCAAAAAAAAACGATATAATATACGATATAATATATGATATAATATACGATATAATATACGATATAATATATGATATAATATACGATATAATATATGATATAATATACGATATAATATGCGATATAATATACGATATAATATACGATATGATATACGATATAATATGCGATATGATATACGATATAATTTACGATATAATAATAATTTACGATATAATATACGATATAATATATATAATATATATTTATATATATAAATACATACAGATAATACCCTCTCAGTCCTCTTTTGATCCTTAATTTACAAAACGATCCCTTTGAAGGGTATTCCCCAATTCGGTTTTTCGCCACTTTTGCTCCCCCAAACTTTTCCCTCTTTCGTTTTGTAGTTGTTTTTGGCAATTAACCAGGGGGGTGGTGCCCCCCCCCCCTTCGTCCTGTCACACGCATGCCCTCGTCGTTGTCGTCCTTCTTCCTTTTTTTGTATTTTTTTGCGCCCACTTGAAAATTTTTTAAATATTTTTAACTGCTGCGAAGAGCTCCACACTCGTTGTGTTTGGTTAATATTTTCCTCCGTCCCCCTCTGCGTGTGTGTGTGTGTGTCTAGTGTGTGCCCCCATCCCCACCCCCGCATATGCGTAATATATTAACCAAAAAACAACAACAACAGAAGAAGCAGAGGGGAAAGAGAGAGCAAGAGGGAGTGCGAGAGAGAGAGAGAAAGAGTGTGGGGTATAAAAAACAAAGGCGCACCGCACACCAAAAAAAAAAGTAGGTGGAGCAACAAATTTCCAACTTGCCTCTGACACTTGAAGCTTACTCTTTGGCAATTATACATAACACACACACACACACACACACACACACTTGGCCAATATGCACCCAAAAACGCTTATATAAATATATATACACACACACGCACACACACATTCCAGTCAGGATGTGGCATCCTTCTTCTTTTATTATTTTTTTGGGGTTTTTTTCTTTTGTGCAATGGTTTATAATTAATAACGAAGGGGACTTACCAATATTATTATATACCAAATTGTGAATTGTTTCAGTCAAAATCGGGGAAACGCTGAAATGGAAGAAAGGGATATACGGTTAGTTAATTGATTTATCTTTGATTGGGGATCTAGGATTATAACTATAATATAATATATAAATATATAATATAAAAATATAAAACATATAAATATATAATATATTAATATATAATATAAAATATATTATATATAAATAATATTTCAAAAGATAATAAACCTGAAATTCAGTCTGACTTCAAATTTCAATTTCCTTTCAATTATGTATCATCATCAAAGAAACCTAGCTTTAACCTAATTAATATATATAAAACCGATCCATCTTTAGATATTTCTCATATCAGGCAAACTTCTTTACCTATTTAATAGTTTTTCTCAAAAGATTTAGGTCAAAATATATAGATTTAGAAAACCTTAAATAGTTATTCTTCTTACAAAGAAACATTATATTTTGTAGAAACGAAAAATTAAGTTTAATATAGATATTAGGCAGTAGTTATCAAATACCAATAAATCTCTAATATGATATACAATATAACTGAAATAGTTATTCTTCTTAAAAAGAAACATTATATTTTGTAAAAATAAAAAAACTAAGCTAAAGATGCGAATAAGGCAGAAGTAATCAAATACCAATAAATCACGAATATAATATACAAATAGATACATATTAGATAGTAGATAGATAGATAGTAGATAGATAGTAGATAGATAGTAGATAGATAGTAGATATACAGTAGATAGATAGTATATATCGTAGTATTATAGTTAGTAACTCACTTAAACATCTACAATTTCTAGTGCTAAATTATTTGCATTTTATCTTTCTTAAAATTTTAACAAGAATTTTAATGCCTTAACTAAGTAATCTCTTAATTAACCGAAGAGTTCCTAATCATATCTGCTTAATTAATCTGCGCTTAAACCTTAACCTTCCCTGTAAACTTTAACCCCTTAATTATCAACTCTTACATTAACCCTAACCTTACACGTAGCTCTAAGTAGAACTATATGTTTAGGTCAGACTCAAAATTATCTTAAGTGTTATCGGAATGCTATCGGAAAGTGATCTAAAAGTTATCGAAAAAGTGTTATCGGAATGTTATCGGAAGGTGTTCTAACGAGAACTTTACCTAGAACACCTAAAATTAACTTTAACTCAAACCAAACTCAAAGTAAACTACATGGTGCTTTAGATTTTAGCCTAAAATAATTGTAGAATTAACTATTTTCTTAATTAGTTTACAAATTAGTTATAATAATTACTTTAATCTCAAAATAAAACCCACTTTTTTCCTCATCTCTTATTTTTCCAGCTCCTTTTTGCACTTTCTTTTTGCTGATCAAGGATCGCAGGTAAGTGTTGACTTCTTTTTAAAAAGGATTCCAAGGGCGGACATTGTCTTAAGCTCGAATGCGATAGGCAAAAAACAAAAACAAGGCACCGAGGGATGTGTGAACACACACACACGCACACACACACACACTCTTAAGCTCATACGCAACCCCGGGCGGGACACAAGCTTGTGAGCTATTCCTATTGGCTAATTACTGCTCACCCCACCCCCACCCACCACCCCCATCACCTATACCGAAGCATAATAATTTGCATACGAGCATATGAGTGTGTGTGCTAGTGTGTGTGTGTGTGTTGTGTGCAGGAAACTTTGAGCCCAAAATGTAGTAGGCATCCCTCTGTGTGTGTGTGTGTGTGTGTGCATCCCTTTTTCTAAGATTTTAATGCAACCAAAAAAAAAAAATAAAAAAAGAGCCGGCAAAAAGGATGACGAAGGATGCTCTTCTTCACCACATGCAAGCTTAAATAATTTGTCGCATTTGCCGGCTGCTTGGATGCCATCTCCTCCTGCAAGGAGTCCTCCTCACTCCCCTTCCCCTAACTAAGCGCGAAACTACAACGAAGACGTCAACATTCACATCCTTATCCAGCTTCGCGCCAACTCACCAACACACTGGCTCTCTCTCTCTCTCTATCTCTCTTTTTGGCCAGAGAATCCTGGCAAAGACGAAGACGAAACACAAGAAAAAACAAAAAAAAAAAAAATAAGAAAGAAAGGCCAATACTTCGGGGCGCACTTGTTGGCATCTCCTCGTCCGCGTCCTCGTCCTCGTCCTCGTCCTCATCCTCGTCGTCGTTGTCCTTGTCGTTTTTCGTCTAAGAGAGCGGGCGCATAGCATACTTTTTGGGGCTGCCAAGCAGGCACAGGGGGGGGAGTGAGTGTCCTGCGTCAAGGCTCTACTGGTGGGTACTTTACTTGATGATTATGGCGACGATAATGATGATTGGAATGGCTTTGAATGGCGTTGAAAATGAAGATTGCGTGTAGTAGATTTGCTCCAACTGTGTGTGTGTGTGTGTGTTAGTCCTGTGTTGCTTCTGCTGGAGCTCCTTGTGCTCCTTTTGCTCCTTGTGTGTGCGTGTATTTGAGGGGAGGCTGCCTCTGCTGATTTCTGGGTAATATGCGTCCAACTACACACTATCAGCATTTGATTTTATTACGCTCATTTGTATGCGTATAGTTCTTAGAGTTTATATGTCTGTGAGAGGTTTGTAGGGGGAAGTAGAAGTAGCTTCTGGCCAGGAGAGCAACAGGATAATGTCTTGACCTCCTGCCTTGGCTCCTGTTACAGTTTCTTGTTTCTTGTTTTTGTTGCTGCTGCTTGTCCGTGTTGTGACAATGAAGGCCATGCCGAGACTTTTGCCGGCTGACTTTACCTTTCCTCTCTCTCCGCAGTCCTTCAAGGATGCTCGCAAGGCTCACTTCTCGTTTCTCAGTGACTCTGTGGCAGCACTCTCTCTCTCTCTCTCTCTCTCTGGGGGGCAGTATCTTGGGCAGTTTTAGTAACCGTTAAGACGTCGTGGCTGACTCGTCGTTGCCAGGACCTGCTCCTTAGCTGCTTAAGCTTTTTAGCTGCTTCCGTTTACGTTTTTTTAGTTTTGTTATTTGTTTTATTTTTTAGCTCAAAGGTGAGGATCGTTTAGGATCTCCTTGTATACATACTCCCACACTCTCCCTCTCTCTTTCTCCCTACTTTCTACTCCTTCTCTCCCTCCCTCTCTCTCTCACTGGTTCCCTCTCTCTCTCTCTTGACTAGCATTGCCTACTTATCAGCGCTTATATGCTGGCCTTTTGGAGCAAGCGAGAAGACATGAGAAATTAAAATTTAAAAAACGCCTCTCCTCCTCGCACACACACACACACACTCCCCCCCCCCCACACCCACACGCGCACAGGCCATCCTTTTTTATTCGCTTGGTTATTTTTCGTGCGTCGATTTCCCCTTTCGTATGCTCGTAGTTCGCGTGTGTGTTAGTGTGTGTGAGAGTCCTTTTTATTTTCGTGCTTTACAAATTTTTGTATTTTTCATTTTTGCGCCACGCTCCGCTCGCTCGCTCTCTCTCTCTCTACAGTGTGTGTGTGTGTGTCGTCGTGTAAACGCGCTTTTTTCGTCCTTTTTTTTAATTTTTTCCCTGCCGGCAGCACGGACGGGGGTTGTTTGTGGGCGCCGCCTGCAGTGGGGTTGAGCAAAAGCGATTTTTTCCTCTCACACATCTGTGTATATATATATATATGTGTGTGTGTGGTGCTGCTGCTGCTGCCGCTTCTTATCCTCCTGCTTTTCCCTTTTTCCCACACAATTTTTCCTCCTGCTGCTGCTGCTGCTGCTCTGCCGCCGCCGCTTTTGGTTTTAGCATTTTTCGTTCGTTTTTCGCATTTTTGTTTTGTTTCTGATTTTCCTTTTTCCTTTGCGCCAGCGTCGCAGTCGCCGTTGCCGTCGCAGTCGCATCCTTTTTATTTTTCGTTTTTTTTTTTTCTTTTTTAGAGGCCGCCACACGCAGAAAAAAAGAGCAAACTGTGCGTGTGTATGTGTGTGTGTGTTGATGCTGCGTGTGGTGTGTCCTGCGAAATGAGTAATGAGTGTTTAGTACGTTGTTTGGCGGCTGATTTTTATGGCAGAGCAGCGGCAGAAAAAAAAAGGACACGGTCAGGATTCCCGTAGAAATCGCCAAAAATCCACAGGATGCAGCAGGGTTCCAGGATGTTGCAGAGTCCACACGGCATAGCCTAACTTTGGGCGCTTTCTAAGGACTTGAATGGTGTGTCTGTGTGTGTGTTCTCAAGGTGTGTGTTTGAAGGGATATTTTCATAGTCAAATTTGTTAGGAAGTTCTGGTTATACTTCTGGTTATATTTCTTGTTATAATCCGGTTATACTTCTGGTTATACTTGTGGTTATTTTTCCGGTTATACTTCTGGTTATCCTTCTGGTTATCTTTCTGGTTATACTTCTTGTTATACTTCTGGTTATACTTCTGGTTATACTTTATGTTATACTTCTGGTTATACTTCTGGTTATACTTCTGGTTATATTTCTGGTTATACTTCTGGTTATACTTCTTGTTATACTTCTGGTTATACTTCTGGTTATACTTCTATTTATACTTCTGGTTATACTTCTGGTTATATTTCCGGTTATACTTCTGGTTATCCTTCTGATATACTTCTGTTTATAATCCGGTTATACTTCTGGTTATACATCTGGTTATACTTCTGTTTATACTTCTGGTTATACTTCTGTTTATAATCCGGTTATACTTCTGGTTATACTTCTGGTTATTTTTCTGGTTATACTTCTGGTTATACTTCTATTTATACTTCTGGTTATACTTCTGGTTATACTTCTGGTTATATTTCCGGTTATACTTCTGGTTATCCTTCTGGTTATCCTTCTGGTTATCCTTCTGGTTATCCTCCTGGTTATCCTTCTGGTTATACTTGTGTTCCTGGTCCTCGTCCTGGTTCCAGTTTTAAGCCTTGTCCTGTTTTAGTAATATTCCTAATCTCACTCCTACTTCTAGTCCTAGTTCTAGTCTCACTTCTAGTACTAGTCCTGCTCCTTATCCTAGTCCTAGTCCTAGTTTTAGCCTCCTTCTTGGTCCTAGTCCTAGTTCTAGTCCTGGTCCTTGCTCACCACCCCCCTCGCAGCATCCTCCCAACCCCCTTTACCAAAACAAAGCTCGTAGTCGTCGCATCGTTCAGCGTCGCTGCCGCTGCTGCTGCTGCTGTTGCTGTTGCTGTTGCTGCCTTCGTCCTGCGGCGACTGGCGGCGACTTCGGGCCACCTTCGGGCGGCTTCGGCTGTTGTGCCGCCTTGTGCCGCCGCCGCCGCCGTCGCCGCTGCCGCTGCCGGCGCCTGCAGAGCGGCAGAGCGGCGATTGTGACTTGGACTTCAATCGAGTTGGGTTTTTAAAAATAACGTTAGTTGCTGTTTGTTGCTCGTTACGTGCGCGTGCTGCGACGCGGACCAAAAAATAAAAAAATAAAACAAAAAACCAAAATAAAATACCGACAAATAAATAATACAAAAAAGAAGAACAACAAACCGAAAAATATACAACAAATATCTAAAGAGAGACATTTACATTACAGCGGAAACGGAAATAGCAAATTGTAACGCAAACACACAAAAAACCCAAACGAAGAACAGAGTTCAGTTTCTTATCCATCTTCCTCATCATTATATATATTTTTTTTGCAAGTGTAAAGGACAGCATCCTGCCGATTTGTTGCCGATTGTTGATTGTTTTCATTTTTGTTTGGTGAAAATTAAGAGAGAGAGAGAGAGAGAGAGAGAGAGAGAGAGAAAGAGAGAGAAAGAGAGAGAAAGAAATAAACAAAAGCACCGATGACGATGACAAATTGTGCAATATCATAATCAAATCGTATCGAAATCGTATCATCAAGTGCAGTTTAGGAAGACACCGCAACACACACACACACACCAGCAGCAGCAGCATCAAAAATTCGTATCCTTCAACGTTAATCGTTAATACTAAACCTTAACTGTGTCCCGAACAGATCTAAAACAAAAAAAAAAGAATATAAAGCGAGCAACCGCAACAGAAACTCTAAAGTGAAAGTGAGAGTGAAGTATAGGAGCAGCAGCCGCAGCAGCAGGACATCAGAGAGGAGGAGCATTAACCGGAAACGGAAACGGCAAGGGCGGTAGACGGTAGCCGGCTTGAATCCTGGAGCAATGCACATGGCGCTGAGCAGCCTAGCAGGAGCAGGATCATCCCCACAAAAGGAGCACACACACAAGACACGTAAGTCCTTGAGAGATGCCATGAAACTTCTTCAGTTAGAAGGTCCTGCAAACTATATCTTTTAGTTAGGGGGTTCCCAGAACTCATAGTTCTTTGATATGTGTGTGAAATGCTATTTCTTTCTTAATAACAGAGTAAGAAATAAGATATAACATCGAATATTATTAATTCTTACTTGAAATTCCTTTCTACTTAACTCCAAGTAGTTCCTAGAACTTTCTAAAGTTCAGAACTATTTCTTTAAAGGGTCCCAGCTCTGTTTTAATCTTTGATAAGCTTTGATATCTTTTCTACTTTCTGTTCAACAAATTTAACTATCAAATTCAGCTCTCATATTTATCAAATTTTCTATCAAATTCTTCTATACTACGCTCTTAGTATAGTTACCGAATCTTCCTGGAACTTCTTCCGTTCAAAATAATTGTTTAACTTATCAGCTTTCCTAAGCTTCGATTTCTTTCTTATTTGCTTGAATATATCCATTAAATTCCTCCCAGCTTAGCTTGCAAGTCCTAAGTTAACCCTGGATTGATTTCATTTCCTAGAAAAACTTCTATACATTTGATAAGAATTTTTGTTCTTGCCACATTGTTTCTGTATTTATTTTGGGTTTTTTTACTCAAAGTAGTTTACTCAAAGGTTTGATAGAGATTTTTTAGGAAATATTTAAGAATTTTTGCATTTATATTACTTGGAAGTTTGATAGGAAATGTGAATTTTATTTATTTTTATTAAGATTATTTCGTTTTCGCATTAAATCAAATACATTTTTTTCTAATAATGATTGAGAAATATATTTAAATTATTTTCAAATTAAAGATTAATAAATTTTAAATCCATATCAAGTGATATATTAATTATTTCTGGTATTTTTTATTTTATATATACATAGTTCTTTGCCTTATTTATTATTTTTTATAGATTTACATATACCTTTGCAGGGTATTAAAATTTCAGTTAGAAGCTTCATACACAGTGAAGGAATCATTTCCGACCCTATAAATCATATATATTCTTGATCACAATCAACAGGGGAGTCGATCTAGCCATCTCTGGCAGAAAAAAAAATTTTATAAAATTTTTCCAACATTTTATGTCATGAAAATTGTAAAAAAAAAACGCAAAAATGTGAATTTTTTAACATTCTAAATTGAGTATGTAGATTTAAAAAGCTGATAAAAACTAACATAGGAACGGTTTCCGAACTAAAATTAATGCATTTTTGGCTGAGTTATGACCTTTTTAAACTTTGATTTAGTTTAAAAAATTGCCCAATAAAAATATAGTAAATATTGCCTAATAAATGGTATTCTAATTTCAGTAAGAAGCTTAAAAGAAAGTGAAGGAATCATTTCCGACCATATAAATCATATATATTCTTGATCAGCATAAAAAGGCGAATCTTTCTAGGCATAAAAAAGGAAAATTAATTTTTGATTTTTTTTTTCAATTTTTTTAAGCCTTTTTTTCATTGTTCACATCTTGAAAAATCGGCAAAATTTTAAATAGTTTAAAAATTCAAATTTGGTATGCAGATGTATAAACCTATTAAAAACTAGAACAGAACAGCTTTCCGAATTGAAATTAATGTATTTTTGGCTTAGTTATGAGATTTTTAACTTTGATTTTAAGTAAAAAATTGCATTATAAAAATATAGTAAATATTGCCTAATAAATGGTATTATAATTTCAGTCAGAAGCTTAAAAAGGAATGAAGGAGTCATTTCCGACCCTATAAATCATATATATTCTTGATCAGCGTTGAAAGCTGAATCGATCTAGCTATGTCCGACTGAAATCTAATTTTTTCAAAATTTTCAACATTTTATGAGGTTAAAATTGGTAAAATTGAGATTTAAAAAATGAGCAAAAATTTTACTTTTTAAAACTTTTAAATTGAGTATGCAGATTTATAAATCTATTAAAAACTAACACGAGACAGCTTTCCGAATTGAAATTAATGCATTTTTGGCAAAGTTATGAGTTTTTTAAGCTTTAATTTGTCATATAAAAATAACATTAATTATGGTTTAAAAAAAGCTGCATATTTTAAGCTTAGTTATGCTCGATTTCTGTTTCAATAATATAATTTAAATGCAAACTGCAAGGGTTTATAAATAACGACTTTCGGAAGTTACTTTCCTTTTTTATTTTATTACATACTATTTATTATTTATTCCTTTACTTGGTTTTAATCAGTTTTCTATTTGAAATCTATTTTTTATGGTATCTGTCCTAGAAATATATCTTTATACAAAACGAACTAGGGTTCTTAATCTTTTTTTCCCCTATGTCATTTCTGTTTTCAATTATTCCTGATATTATTCTCACCCGATTGCCCTGATTCACATTCCTTATTCCGCGTATATATAATTATATTATATATATATTTGTATATATATTTGTATATATATTTGTATATATATTTGTATATATATTTGTATATATATTTGCATATATATTTGTATATATATTTGTATATATATTTAACAGCATTCCCAAATGGCAAACGGGCGGGCATTGAACCTGCTCAGAGAGCTTTCTTCGTGTAAACACACGGGTTTCATTCTCATTCTGGGTTTGGGTTTTGGGGATCCGAATGGATCTCTCTCTCTCTCTTTCTCCCCCTCTCCCTCTCCCTCTAATGGTTCCGTCGTTGACCTCCTCGCATATTACGTATACGCCGCCGGATCACAGGCTCGTGCTGCTTTTTTCTTGCTTTTTTTTGCCTTGAGCAGCGGGCAATGCACGCATCCGATATTAGGCCTTCGCTGCCAGCGAAACAGAGAGTGAGAGAGTGAGAAAGAGCGATAACGAGTGCGTGAGCGGTAGAGTTTTTTTCATTTCCCTTTTTTATACATATAGTATATATATATATATATTATACTTGGGACTAACTCGGTGCAGTGCCGCCAATTAGAACAAACAGCGACAGAGAAAAACGACGACAAGTTCAATGCGATCGTTTCGCCTTCGACGTCGACAGCGACGCCGAGAGGTTGTTGTCGAGGTCCACCGGCCACCTAGGGGTTAATGCCAGTTGTAATTGCAAAACACACACACAGAGCCCCAACAAAGGAGCAGCTTAGAATGGGGACAGAGAGAGAGAGCGAGAGTTTCTGATACATTTCGAGGGTTAAAGATTCAAAAGTAACATCAAGACATCAATAGAATATAATAGCAATAAATAATATAATAAATAATATAATAAATAATATAATAAATAATATAATAAATAATATAATAAATAATAAGATAACATTTCGAGGGTTAAAGATTCAATAGTAACATCAAGACATCAATAGAATTATATAATAGAAATAAATAATATAATAAATAATAAGATAAAGAAGAAAAAATAAGATTAGAAATATAAATAAACTATAAATATAATTAAAACAAGAATATACATCAAATATAAATATATTCAACATATAAAATAAATAATAATACAAAAGAAATCCTCAAATGAAAATGAAATGAAATGAAATCACTTAAGTCTCTGGTTATCTACATTAAAAACTAATCTATTACTATTATAATCTATCTATTATAATCCACGCTTCACTTAATAAACTTTTCCTAGTTTTTTTATATTTAATGATTTTCCGTTTCCATTAATTCCCATCAAACTATTTTTTTATAATTTCTGTGAGCTCTAGTAATCATGGCAATTCTTTAAAACTTACTTAAACCTGAATTATAGGATTTATAGGGAATGTTATTAACAAAATTTCAAAGAAGTACTTATTATAGAACCAGAGTTTTAAGATATAAGATTGCCAATCCAGTACACAGTAAGAATTTACTATTTAAAAGCCGTATATAGTTAAATAAGATATAAAGATCATTTTTTATTATATTTAGTTGAAAGAAATCAGTAATTATTTTACAAATACCTACCTTTGTTATTAGATCTGTTATTTTTCGGCTTCTCAGATAAAAATATATAACAGCAAGACTTCATTTTGAACCAGAGTTTCAAGATATAAGATAGCCAATCCAGTATCCAGTAAGAATTTACTATTTCAGAGCCTTTTAAAGTTAAAAAAGATATAAAGATCCTTTTATTATTATATTTAGTTTGAAAAGATCAGTACAAATTTCATAAATATCTAGTTTAGTTATTAGATCTGTTATTTTCTAGGAACCCTTGCATTTCATACAAAATATATTCATATAACAAGACTTCATTTTGAATGTATCATTTGATTTCAATATTATTTTTCTACAAAATATAATTTTCTTATTTCTTATTTATTTATTATTTTATTTATTATTTATTTATTAAAAAGCCCCTCTTCATCGTAGTCATATTCGCATTATCGTTTTGTAATAAGCTCTGACTCAGAGGCAACTGGCTCTCCTTTTTTCCGGCTAATCTTTCCGAGTTGTCTCTCGGTGACATTTTGCGTTGATCTTGAAACAACCATTAAAACCGAACCGAGAGACGCGCGGCAATAAAGACATTATAGATACGTACATATATAGATATTTATATATATTTATGTATATATATGTGTACGTGTAGATACTACATTCATGGAGTGAATCGGTTTATGAATCGGATCGCCAAGAGGTCACACTCTCAGCAGGTCTGCACAAAAAAAAAACCTTAACAAAACAACATTTAAAAATAATTCTGCTAATCAAGCTGAATTTAAAAATGTAAAAAAAAAACACACACACAAGAACCAAAAATCGCCACGCATGAAAGTAGTAAAAAATAAAACCAAAAATCGCCACGCACTAAAGTAGTAAAAGAAAAATGAATCAAAATGTACAAAAATATATCAAATGATGTAACAAAAAATATACAAAAAATATAAAATGAACATACAAAAATATATCAAATCAAGTAAAAAATAAATATACAAAAAATATAAAATATATCAAGAATTATAAAAAGAAAAATTACAAAACAAGGATACATTTTATATATGCAAAAATATGTATACAAAAATATAATTAACTTATACAAACATTATATTATGTATGTATTTAATATATTTAAATATATATTTGTAAAAATATATATGTATATATAAAAGTGTATAAGGAATATATACAATAAAACATACAAAATTTATTATTAAAAAATAAATATACAAAAAATATAAAATGAACATACAAAAATATATCAAATCAAGTAAAAAATAAATATACAAAAAATATAAAATGAACATACAAAAATATATCAAATCAAGTAAAAAATAAATATACAAAAAATATAAAATGAACATATACAAATATATCAAAAATTGTACAAAAAGGATACAATTTATATAAAAATAAATATAAAAATATATATAAAAATATATATAAAAATATATATAAAAATATATATAAAAATATATATAAAAATATATATAAAAAATATATATTTAAAATATACAAACATAATATATAATATATTCAAATATAAATTTAAAAAAAATACATTTAGAAAAGCGTATAAGAAATCTATACAATAAAATACACAAAAATTATTACAAACAAAAAAAAACTATACCAAAAAACTGAACAAAAAAAATTAAAAACAAGCACTAAAAAAGTAAAAAGCACAGCAAAAAAATATAAAGTACAAAAAATACTGGCAAACACGATGCAAGTGGCAACAAGTTTCTCAGCCTCAGATTCAGATCCCAGGGCCAATCTTAAGTCTTTCGTCTTCCGTCTCCTCTCCAGTCTTCTTTTGTGCGTGTCAGAGGTGTGGGGGGGGGATAGGGAACGAACAAGAGGGGGTAGGGGGGAGGTTGTGAGAGGAGGGGGAGCTTCTTTGGGAATCTGGGTTATGGCAAACAGGGGTGCCCCCCACACCATACCATGTAATAAAATGCGAAAATGCGGTAATGGTAATGGTAATATTAAGCAAGTCTTTTTCTTTTTTTTCTTTCCTTTGCATCAGCACAAAAATATATATATTTAAATATTTAAATATATATATATATATATGACTTTAGCCTGGAAAACAAACTCCCAAAGACGTGTTATTTTCTTGACTGGGATTTGGGTTTGGGTTTGTGGGCTATACACATACATATACTGATAACTCTTTGGGGGCTCTCTATATCTTACAGTTACAGTTACAGTTACAGTTGTGGGGTGCGGATATATTTTATATTTATATATATTTTTATCAAGATATATGCTGGGCAGCAGCGAAAGTTGCTTGTAAGCCTCTATTTGCGATCTGCTTTTTCAGAAACAAAAAGTGCAATTGTGTGCGTGGGAGGCAATTTGCTGATCGCTGATTCGCCCCCTTGCTGTGGCTATGTCTTACATTTCCCCCCCCCCCAAAAAAAAAAAACACAAAAAAATTATTTCTGGTAAACAAAAAAAAATTCTACTTCTTCTCCAAAAAAAGAACAAAAAAAACACACACACACACACAAAAAAAAGAAAAACAATAAAGAACCGAATGAGCCGCTCGTTTGCTTATTCGCTCTTTCGGCGGGGGGAGGGGAGGGGAGGGGGTTTTTTTTTTGGCCTGTAAATTGCAGCGATCGCTGCTGCCTCTGTCGACGTCGCTGCACTCCAAAATATACAAAAAAAAAAAAAAAACCAAGGAAATAATACACTCGCCGACGCAGCGTCGCAGTCGAGAAGTATATAACAAAAGCAAGCAAAAAACAGGGCAGAAAAATACAAAAAAAAATATACAACAACAAAAAAAAAAGAATGTGAAAAAGCGAAGAGCAAAAGGCAAAACATACAGGCGGCGGCATAAGTATACACACGCACACCAGCGCACACATACACCAGCGGGGTTCTCTGATTCAATTGGGCAGGCGGCGCACACACACACACACACACACACACACGCAGTCGGAGGGCAGCAGCGGCAGCACACACACACACACACACACACACACAACACACTTAACTGCATTTTTCGGAACTCAGTTGAGCTTTTTAATTCGATCGGTTCAGTTACTAAAGTTAGTTCAGCCCAAACGCACAATTGCAGTTTCAATTTTCAATTTTGTTCCAAAAAAAAAACCTAAAAACCTAAAAACCTAAACCTAAGCCACACACACACACACACATGCACACACAAGGATTAGACACACATACTACGTTTTTTTGTACATTTTTTTCTTTTGCTGAAATATTGTCAAGTGTAAGAAAGCAAGAAGAAAGCCAAGAGCTTAAGAGCCAGTGCGCGTACAACTTACACCTTTTTTTCTATCAAATATCCTTGTCCCCAAAATCATAACAAATAAACAAACAAAAAGATCCCCAAAAGATCCCAGCCAGAACCGGAGAAAGCCGGAGGAGAAAGCTGTTGAAAATCCAGAAATCTGTTTTACAAAAAGTGAATAAAAAATTTAAAAAAAAATAAAAAATAGTGCCCACAAATGCAGTGCCGCAATGTGCCAGGATGCGCCTGCTGCTAAAAATTCAGGCAGCCAGGAAGGCCAGAGAAGCCCAGTTCTAGCCAGGTAAGGTCAAAGCCAGATCAAAGACCGCAAAAAGTGTGGCAAGGAGCCAAGGCTCTATGATCCTTTCTTTCAGTCTCTGTAAGCCTCTATAAGTTACAGTTACATATCCTTAGGCTCCTTGGGTTCCCACTGAGTGGACATGCCTGTTTTCTAATTTGTGTGTGCTTTTAGCAGGTTTAAATCTAGATCTTAAGGCTATTTCTTGAGGTTTTTTGAGGATTTTTGAGCTTCTAGCAAATACAGATACATATCCTAAGGCTCTTTTAATTACTGAAATTATCTAAGCATCCCTGTTCCATAGTTATTTAGAGATTCTATGAGATACAGATACATATTCTGTAGATCCTTCGGGCATCCCTGTTTTATAGATAAGATAGTGATTTAAGCAGGTTCAAATATAGATACTTAGGCTCCTGTCTTCTGGTTTTTTTGAGCTCCTATAACCTAAAGATACATATCCTGAAGCTTCTTGAGTTACTAAAACTGACTATAGAATCCTGTTTTCTAGTCATTGCTTGCTTCTAGCAGGTTCAAATATAGATCCTTAGGCTCATTGGGTCAAAGTTTCTAGTATTTTAAAGATTCGATCAGTTAAAAATACATATCCCTAGGCTCCTTGTATGAAAACTGACTGGACATCCCTGTCTTCTGGTATTTTTTTAAGCTTTTAGCAGGTAAAGATACAGATACAAAGGCAAAGACAGATGCAGATACAAAGGCAAATACAGATACTGATACTTATAAAGATTTAGATGCATATAGATATATAGATGCAAATAAAGATACAGATACAAATACGGATACAGATACAAATATACTCTTAAATTTGATTTTAAAGGACATTTGACTCATTTGCCAGCTGCCCAGCTTCTTTTCCCCATCCTCTCCATCTCCCTCTCCTTCTCTCTCTTCATCTTCTGCCTCTGCCTCTCTCCTTCTTCTTGTCCTACTCCTGCTCCTCCTCCTCCTTCATGCTCATTAGCACTACTTTCCTGGCCCCTGCCTGCTCTCTCCCTCCCTCTCTTTTGGAAGTTTTGCAAAATTTTCGGTGCATCTGCATACAAAGATACAAAAGCGAAGCGGGTATAGGGACACACACACACACACACGCACACACACATAATGCAGGAAGTGGCGGACAAGGGAGTAGACTGCGCCTGCTGCATTGCTGCGCTCCTCGTCTCCCCGTCTCCTCTTCTCCTCGGCACCTCTGCCATTCTCCGCGTCTTCTTCGGCTGCACTTCGGACGCTTCGCGAAGCTCACCAAGGCAGCAGCTGGAAGAGGATCGCCAGCAGAATGCCTCGTTTTCGCTTTGGAAGAAACTGCAGTTTGCTGTTCAGCGTCGCACTGAGCAAACGTCGTGTCTCGTCATCGTCGTTCTCGTTGTCGTTGTCGTTGTTGCTCATTGCAAAATTGTTAATTGAGAATTGTAAAGCGCTAAAGACGCTCGCGACAAGTGCAAGGATTTTAATTACTACACTTCCCTTATTGGCTTCCAACTTTGCACGCATTTTGTTAACGTTTGTTTGTTTTTTTTTTAACGTTTTTTTGTTTAATTGTTTGTAAACACATCGTTCGTTATCCTTGAAAAAATAAAGACCCACTCAGGCTTAGTTAAGGACCGATCAGGAACACACACACACTCTCAGGATAAACTTTGCTCTCTTGCTCTCTCTCTCTTTTGGTTGGGAGAGCAGTAAAGAAGGTAAGTCACGGGACCCACTTTCGCTTTCACACAAAAATGGGACACAGGAATTGGCCAGACACGCACTCAGGGTGAGTGTCGGGTCACTTGTCGGGGTCTCCATCTCCATCTCCGTCTCCGTCTCCTCTGTCTGCTGAATAGAGAGGAGCTCTCTACGCCTGGTCCTCCTCCTACTCCAGCTCCTCCCGATAGTTAGTTGTTAGGGCGACCCAGACCGAGACCGAGACCGAGAGCCAGACTATAACAACAACCCACTCCAGCACCCTCCTACCTCCTACCTCCCATCACCATAACCCATCGCGGTTCCCATCTGCAGAGGCCACAAAGAGCTCACTCCACCTCTACACGGACACGGACACGCACATGGACACGTGCACACAGACACAGCAAGGTGACGTAATGGCAACTACTCCACTAACACATTTTTCTGCATTCCTGCAACGCGAGGGAGCATAGCAGCAGCAGAGGCAGGCTCCCAGGAGCTATGGGGGGGGAGATGGAGATGGAGCTGGCAGGAAAGTCGCGCGACGACGAGGAGAAAAACTGAATGAAAATTGCAGGCAGCGAAGCGTGTGCCTAGCGCAAAACAGAAAAAAAAAAGAAAAGGAACAAGCAGTGGGGGGCAAAAAAAAAAAAGAAAGAGCGTGGAAAAAAGCATAAAACGGCGGAAACTAGAGACGCAGCCAGACGATGACGACGACGACAACAGGAGGAGGAGGAGGAGGAGACTAGCTGGGGGGGGTCATGCTCACACACGTGGGACGTGCTGTGGAGCTCAGGATGTGTATAAGTGTGTGTGTGTGTGTGTGTGGTTGAATGCTAGGAAAACAGCAGAATCACAAGCAGCAGAAAGGAGGAGGAGGAGGAGGAGGATGAGACTCGCCAAACTGGTGGCCTGAGACTAGACGCTGTCTGCGTGTCCCTGTGTGTGTTATGTGTGTCTGTCTGTGTGTGTGCGACTGGCCGACATTCAAGGTTGACGGCGCATAAACTTGTTGTTGTTTGCTGCTGCTGCTGCTGCTGTTGGAAATGCAACGCACAGGAAAGTGCGAGAAGCATACACTGTATGTCATACATATACAAATGTATATTCCAGGAACCTTGTGAGTAACAGTAACAGTAAAGCTGGAATTGCCAGGGCTTCCCAAACTCATTGTAACGGGATCAGGGGAAAGCTAAAGAGAGTACAAAGAGATGGGAAGAGTAGAAAGTCCAATAAGAGCAAAGAGAGCAGAGATTATGGGATCTTGTGCCATTTACAGTTATATAAAATGCAGTTATATAAAAGGAGACCGAAGAGGAGAGTAGTTGTGGAGAGTTGTGGTGAAGCCCAAGTGGAGAGTTTCCGCGGAGTTTATCGTTGACAATTAGAACCGAACGAAGCGTACCAACAGCACTTCCGTTAGCCTTGCACACCAATCAACGGGAATGAACAACAACAGCGGCCAATTGAGAGTCATTCGTTCGCACAAGTGGACACAACACACACTCACACACACACACTCATACAGAGCGCCCTGTGTGACTCACTTCCAGTGCAGTTCTAGCACAACGCACTTGTTTGGCTGCACAGAGACAGAGACAGAGAGACAGATGCCATAGCAAATGGAGATCACGATCATGATCATGATCATGAACATGATCACATTGTAATAATGATGCCATTCAAGGCCGCCGCCGCAGCAAGTCTTGCGAGTGGATGGAGGAGAAGTTGCAAAAACAAACACAGAAAATACAGAAAGCGAAAGCGAAACAGAGACACAGACAAAGTGCATAGTTATCGCTATAGACCAGGGAGATATACAGGAGGAGAAGGAGGGGGGAAGCCTCTGCCAAGTTCTTGGAAACGGTTACTCCAAGGCCAAGAGCTGGATAGACAAACAAATGAGGCACAAAGACTAGAAGAGATATAGCTCTGCTGCTTCTTCTTCTGTTTATTCTCTCTCTCTCTCTCTCTCTCTCTTGCTCCTGACTCCATTCCATGACCCATTCCATGATTCGCGATGTTTCCATTTCTATTTCCAGGCACTACTTTTCTGGCCTCTTCTTCAGCTCGTTCTTCTTCTTCGTCTTGTTTTTGCTTCTTTGCCAGTTCAGTCAGTCAGTTGGTCATGAGTGTCATGTGCATAGAGTTTGCTGTGTGTATGTGTGTGTGTGTGTGTGTGTGCTTGTGGGGGACTAGGACAGTCAAAGGAGAAGGAGAAGAAGAAGAAGGAGGAGGAGAAGGAGGAGTAAAAGGGGGCTTCCTCTTCTTCTTACGCTTTTCGTTGCCATACGATCGCTGTTTCTGCACTTTCGTTGACATTTTTTCACTTGCATTTTACACACTCGATTCTTTTTCATTATTTTCTTCTTGTTTTTTATATTGTTCTTTTTTATTGTTTTTTTTCAATTGGCGAGGGTCTCAGCTTACCAAGGCGGCCAGGCAAGTGGGGGGGGAGGTGCGCAAAAACTCAGACGAGACAGCGAGGGTCGCTTTTTTAAACGATAACAAAATAAAAAGTAGTTGTAGACTTGGCTTTGGCTCTCATACTTGAAAGAATAACGGGTAATTTGAGACGATGCGATGGGTTAACGGTAAATGTGGCAAGCAATGACAAAAACTCTCACACTCTTTCAACTAACTTTCTTCCCTCTACACTAAACCCTCGCCCGCATAGTGAAAAAAAAAACTAAAGTGTAGAAGAGTTCGCAAAAATAAATAAATTAAAAAAAAAAAAAAAATGTGGAAAAAAATTAAAGTGTGTACCCTCAGTGAGCCAGATGCGCACACCCCCTCCCCCACTCCACCACTCGCTGTCCCATTTCCCGCCACCCATTCCAATCCTTCCCGTCGTCGCCACTCAACAATGCAATGACATTCAGTTTCCAGTCAGAAGCAGCAGCAGCAGCAGAGGCAAAAGCAAATACCACAGGCGCAGGAGAGAGAGAGAGAGAGAGAGAGAACGAATACGCCAAAGATCAACGGCCAAAAAAAATTTGCCAGTCCCGAAAAATACACAAAACTCGGGCACACATGCATGCATGCATCCATTCCAATATGTGTGTGTGCTTTGCATTTGTGTTTGTGTTGTGTGTGCAGGGCCTAAAAATAAGTCGCAACCATGCTGCTTCCCAACCAGCACTCTGCTTCCAACACCCCCCACCCCCTTCTCCACTCCCCCAAGAAGTTTGCACACACGAGGCTAGCCGAACGATCGTCCCAACCAAAGCCGAACCCGAACCGAGCGAATCGGGAATTGCACACACAGAGACACACACGCAGCAACATGTTCGGAGGAGCAGCCAAGAGAAGGTGCGGGGGGGGGGGGGGGAAGAGCAGGAGCGTAGCCCTAGCTCGCTCGCTCGCACATTTTTTTTTATCTAATAACCTTGTGCAATGTTATTAAACCCAAAAAGTTTCTTAACCTCGCCGGGCGCAGCGACTGTGCGGCGCTGGCAGAGCAACGAGCAGCGAGAGCAGCTTTTTTTTTTTTTCTGATGAGAAATGCTAATACATTGTAGCTGTTGCAATCGTGTGCGTGTGTGTGTGTGTGTGTGTCAATTGATCGGGGAGCCAGTGTGTGAGTGTGCCACATTGCGCAAAATTGTCTATAAAATTAATGAGCTGGCCACGCACACACACACACACACACACGCGTAGGCTTATATATATAAAAGTATACATACATATGTATAAATGCATATTCTTAGTGTGCTCGCTGAAATTGGAATTGAAAATGACTGCGGGAATGCGAGCGAAAAAATAAACAAGCCAAGTTCCATGTAATGCGAATTAAATTGCCTCGGCAAGAAAGAGAGAGAGAGAGAGAGAGAGAGAGTCCTACAATGCGCAGCTGACTTTCGCTGCCCGCCCCCTCCATGCACATTTCGATTTTCGATTTCGATTTCCATTCTCGCTCCCCTTCCCCCCCCACCCCTAACCCTAGCATAGGCTTTTGTTCGCCTTTCTCACTCCACCGATCGACAGTTTCCTTTTGCCAGCACTTCACATTTCAATTTTCGCGAATTAATTTGCTGCGCTTGCAACTTAGAAAGCTCGAAAAAACCAAACCAAGCAACCCCCCTTAGCCTATTCCTATTCCATTAAAAACGCGATATGTACAAAAAAATATATCCATATATCAAAGCAGTTACGTAGCGCTAATTCTGCCAACGTCAACTCCGATTCCAGGTTCCCATATTCCCACACACGTTGTGTGCCTGGGAGGGTAGAGGGGGGGAGGGCAAATGCAAATGGCAAATTTCGGAAACTGAATTCGAAACGCAGCAGAAATGGCGCAGTTACGGTGCTTACTCTCACTCACTCTCTCTCTCCCTGTCCCCCGCCCCCTGCCCCCTGTCCCACTAATATACATATGTTTACGTAGACTACTTACGGTGATCATCATCCGATATAGAGATGCAGCGGGTGCGAGCGGGCAAACACTAGAGGTGAATGCACTGAGAAGTTCGGACATGCGTGTGCGAGCGAAAGCCATACGAATGGATGTCCCACTCCAGCTAGAGCAGAGTGCGGGTGCGAGTGCGATGACAGCATTTATTACTGAACCGTTTGTTATTTTCGTACGGTATTTTGCATTTTTGCTTTTTGGTACAGTTCAACGTTCATTAGAGCCGGCCAACAACTGATTGTGGATTGCAAGTGTGCGCGCAGCGGGTAGGGGGGAGCGGGGTCACTGCAGCGGACGGGCACTTATCGGGCAAAAGCGAGGAGATAATGCGAAACATTCGGCGGCGGGCAGCGTTGTCACACATTATTATTATTATTATTTTTTTTAGGAGTTGCACAGCGAACGCACGGTAGGGGGCGGAGGGGAGCCGGGTAGCGGGACGCGGGGGCGAAGCCGTTGAACGCTCGACGCAGTTCAAAGCCCCGACGGCGGCGACGGATGACGACAGCGCAAAAGAAAAAAAAACAACACGAGAAACCGAAACCGCACACACAAAAACAAAAAAAAAAACATACACACAAACAGAATTGGCGGAATTGACTTCCTCTTCCTTCCACACTCTTGTAAAAATCACAACCGTTAAACTCCACTTAATCCACGAGTCGCGCGCGCTTCACTCTACGTTTGAAATAAAACTAACCGACGATGGAAAATGTACGCGCCGATCTAGCGCGAAAACTATTTGCACTCAAGAGCAGACCGAGTCGGTCGATGTCGAAAACTTACATGGCTAGTTTTCCGAGCGAGAGGAGAGCGACGATAGCGCTGGGGCTAGAAACTAGAGGAGCGTCGCAACATTTTATTTGAGCGAAAGAGTGGCGCGTTGGTCTCACTCCCACTCAATGGATGCTGCTGCTGCTGCTGCTGCTGCTGCACTCTTGCACTCCTGCACTCACTCTCAGTTGCAGTTACAACTCCAACTGGCGAGAGGGAGGCAGGGCGGCAGGTGGTCTCTGTCTAACACTATTGGGTTTCTAACCAGAGCCGCTGCTCTCTGCTCGCTCGTTCGTTTGTTCGCTCGCATCCCACACTACTGCTCTCTCCCACTCTCGGTTGCTCGCTCCCTCTCTGCCGCTCACTTTTCGACTTTGGCTCGCGAATTTTTATGTGAAATTTTGTGCGGGGTAAATGACCGAATGTCCGACACACGATGACTAGGTTAAGGTGAAGGTCAAATTAGCGAAAATGCAAAACAACCAAAGCGCAAAAGGCGCTGCTGACGGCGCAGTCGCAGAGCACTAACAATAGAAATCAACTTTGTCAGCGCAAATGATGGGCCAAGACGGGCTAGGAAGGGGGGTAGCGGAAAACCAAAACAAAAGAAAAGGCAGCAGAACCAAAAAAAGAACACAAAAGCGTTTTAGTCGATAGGAAAGAGGGAGAGAGAGAGAGGGAATAGTAGGCATAGAAGACAGGCAACAGAAAGGGGCGGGGGGGGAGGTATGTACATATATATTTCGCAGACAGTCGTGCATTCTTCTTCTGTCTGGTCCTCTTCCTTTCGCACTCCTCCTTGTCGCTCTCATGGTGGCGATCGGCAGAGCCAGAGAGCGCCCGCTGCTTGCTTGGCAGCACAGTTCGCCGCCTCTCTTTGCTCGCTGGCAAGCTTTCTAACGCATGCCTTCTCTTTCCCCCACACACAGTCAGAAGCCGAGGCTCTCTCTATTATGCGCAACTAGCTAGGCAGCAACAGCGACGCGGGCAGCGGCAGCGACAGAGCAGACGCGATTGAACGCGAGACCTTGAACTTGGACTCAGTTTGCGAGTTGAAGAATTGGGTTTTGTTTTGAATGCTCTCTCCCTGTCTGCCTCGCTATGTGTGTCGAGTGTGTGTGTGTGCTATCTCGTGTGGCACCTCGCCGCCTGACTATTCCAGTTCTATTTGCACTCTGGCTCCCTACCTTCCACCCTAATTGTTAGCAATTAGCCTAATGGGCCAATTAACACGCATTAATCAGGTGGCCCTAGAGAGAACCGTCTCCCTCTAACTAAAGGCTGCCTTCATCTCCTTCTCCACCTTCTCCTTTTCTCTTTTTAATGCAAATGCAAATGCCAAGCACCGTTATGCCGGACGCACACATACACAATGCATACACGGCGTCACTCTGCATTCATGCATTTAGAGGTGGGCGCGGGGGGTGGACGCCTTTTGCGTCTAGCACTTGTCTAGCCCCACACAGACACAGTCGGCACTCACTCGAACACACACACACACACATTGCATTCTGCTTTCGTTGTAATGCTCTCCTTGTGGCGTCTTCTTCCTCTTCTCTATCTCGCTCTCCGCTAGTTTTTACACAACTTTCGCTTTCACTGCCACTCTCGGCTCTCCCCCATACACACGCGTGTGTGTGTGTGTGCATTGGACGTTAGATTTTACATTTGGTGGGAGCCACAGGGGCTCTCTGTGTGTGTGTGTGTGTGTGTGTGTGCAATGTGGGCGCCATAGCGTCTAGCCGGCAACAAGTGGAAAGCGGAAAGCAAAGAGTGAAAACTGGATGTGGACTGACCTTGTTTAATGTTTTGTAAACTGTCGTAGACTTGTCACCACTGTACTAGTAATAGTAGTTCCATCTCGCTTTCACAATGGAAAGGGGAGTGGGAATGGGAATGGGAAATACTGGAATGTGGGCATAGCAAAAAGTGCGAATTGGAAACAAAATGCTGATAGTCTCGGCGTGTGTGTGTGTGTGTGCATAACTAAATCACTTAACCTTGAAAATAGAAACCGCACACAGCAACAAGGAAAGGCAAAAAAAAAAAAAAAACAAGCCAAAAGCAAAAGTCATAAAGAAATCCGCAAAAAAGTTTCTCGGGCAAACAAAAAAATGAAAAAGAAGAAAAGAAATATAAGAAGCAAACATACAGATAGAGAAATTAAGAAAAGCACAAACAAGTTTGCCAAAAAAAAAAAAAAAGAAGGAGAATGATTAGAACCCGCGGGGGTGGCGCACACACACACACACGTAAAATATATGTGCTTAGCATTTAGTTTCCAACTGAACAAACTACCGCTGCCTCTATCTAATCTCTTTGCCGCTTTGCTCTTTTAGCTTTTTGGCTTTTGCAGCTTTTTTTTGTTCTTTTTTTTTATTATTTTATTTAGCAGCGCAGTCAGCCAAATAATTGCTTTTATTCAAACCTCACACACACACACACACATACAAGCCTGCAACGAATTCAACTTTTTTTCTAGAACTATTTCCAAGGCTGCTAACGGTGGTGAGAGGGAGAGAGCTAGCCATAGCTGCTGCCTGGCGAAATGCGCCAAACAAAACACAAAAAAATAAAAAAATTTAATAATAATACAGTCAGCACAGCAACAACAAATTTAGTATTTAGCCTTGAAAGTTCGTAAACACTACGACCGCACACACACACACACGCACACAGAGGGGCAGCGACGTGCACACGTACTTGGAGATCTGTTATATGCAGCGTCAAAAATTGTGGAATATGGAATATAGGAATAGAGCAAGCGAGAGAGAGAGGTGGAATGATCTATTGGCCGGCAGCCACTCTCCTTCCACTTTCCCGCCTGGGGGAAATCACTCACTCCTCCCGCTCTCTCTCTCTTCCTTTTTCTTTGCCTGGCCAGACTTTATTAGTTATTAGTCAGCCGGCGACTGCGACATGTTTGTTTTGTTCTATGCACAAAAATTCAACTCTAGTATAAAGGGAGAGAGAAAGAGCAAGCGAGATCGACACAAAAAAATGCTGCTTGCATGTGTGTGTGTGTGTGTGTGTGTTGCGTCTGGGAATTCTACATTCTAATACCGAAAAAGGGGGGGTACCGGCCCCCGCCGTCCTGAGGCTCAATCCTTTGAGCGCGCTCTCCCACAAGTTCTCATTCTCGCGCTCTCTCTCTTGGTCACTCTCTCTCTCTCGATCCCGCATCCAGACGAACGCACACAGACGCAGTGCCAAAATTTCGGGGAATAGTTTCGCCAGTGTGTGCTCGGGTTTTGTTTTTTTTTTTGTTGTTTTTTTTTTTTCGGCTGGCTAATGCGCTTTTTTGTGAGTGCTGGACGTTGACGCTGGCTGCGACTGCGGCAGAATCAGAAGCAGCAACTGGCACGGCACTCTCTTCTTCTTTAGCGCGAATTCAGTTGAGTTTCTACGCTTGCAATCATCAAACGCAACAAACACAAAACACACGCAAATCGGACTAGTCGCTGTGATCGGAAGAGAGAAACCAAGAATTGCCGCTTTTATCCTGGCTTCCCAAAAAAGAAGGGAGCATCTCGCAATGGGATCGCAATTAGTTTAGTTTAGTTTAGTTTTCAGTGTTTTTTGTTCGTTCGTTCGTTCGGTCGGTCGGTCGGTCGGTCGGTCGGTCGGTCGGTCGCTTCCCCTTCGCTTCGTTCAGTTTCGGTTCGCTTCCTTGCTTCTCCAACTAACGGTTCATCTAGTGTATATGTGTATGTGTGTGTGTGTGTATGCGTGCCGTCATCTTTTTTTTGTGTTCTATTTTCTTTTGTTTGTTGTCGAGTGTCGAAATTAAACGAAATTCAAAAAGAGCCACACTAAAACACAGTCATAATTAATTAGCGATTGGAAAAGTAAATAAATGAAAGAGAAGAAATGCACCAAACAGCCGTTAGTTGTTACACAATTCAATTCAAATCCAATCAGAGCAATACAATTCACAGCTGGAAACAGCTACAGCTACAGCTCCAGCTCCAGCTCCAGTTCCAGCTTCAGCCATAGCAGGAGTCGGATTCCAATTAGAGCGAGCGCCGGCGGCTGGAAAGGTGAGACAGGGAATTGGAGAAACGGTGGGAACGGGCTGCGCGCGAACGATCCACACACTGGAAAGCGCAGTGGGAATGGTAATGGGATGACGTGCATTCCCGTAATTCCCATAGACAAAAGACAAAGAGAACTTGAGGCTCTGCGTGCTATTTATATATTGACACACTCACACAAAAGCCTAATAAATGGTGAAAAAAAAATAAAGTTAAATAATAAATGGCAAAAAAACGAAAAATAAAAAAGTGCAGCATAGAGGGGCGCACGCCTGGCGGACTTATCTAATAGTTTTCACTTTCAATGTCGAGCGAAAGCTCTCTCTCTCTCTCTCTCTGTTAGTGCTTATCTGCGCGAGCGGGTGAGAGTATTGCTTAACGTGAGCTCTCTCTTTCTCTCTCTCTAAATGCGAATTCTGTGTTTCGGTTTCGATTTGGATTTTGGTTCTGTATATATGTATCTGCAAGATGTGCAGATGCGTTTCCAATCTCCACTTTCCACTTTCCATTAGCTTTCTTCCACTTTCCAGTACTAAGCCTGTAATCTTTTTTTATATAACAAATAAAGATTAAAGCAAGCAAAAAGTCATAAAAAGCGAAACAGAAAATATAAATAATATAAATTAATTAAAAATTTTAATTCTGCATTTTTTATTGTTGTTGTTTCCCAGCACAAGTGTGTTCTTGTTATACTCGCATTTGTTATAATTTCGTTTTTTTTCTCCACTTTGCGATGCGTTTGCTGTTTTCTTTTGCCTCTTTCTCAGCTTTGTTTTTTTATATATATATGTATATAATTTTTGTATGGTTTTTTGCACTCGTTATAAATTTTTTGCGCCGTCTGCTCGAGCCGTCTGCTTCTTCTTAAAGCATTTCGCGAGTGCTAATTGTCGTCTTGATAGTTTTATTTAATTCTGATTCTGATTCTGATTCTGATTCGCCGTGTGACATAGAAATGGGGTTTTTGCTGCCTGCATTCGTCGCCGCCGTGGTTGACATTTTAAACTGCATTTGTTAACAATTTTCGAACATTTCGCATAGTTGCAAGCGAAAAGTAAAACAGAGAAAAATAAAATAAATACAGAATAAAACAGAGCAGGGAAAAAAGTCATGGCAAAGCAGAAACAAATGCTTTCAACTTTTTTTTTTTTTTCGCGGGCACAGCACGAATACCCGGGAGTTGCCTCTGTCTCGGAGCCCCCCTCTTTTTTTTGTTCTTTATTCTGATCCATTTTGTAATCCGATTGTGACTTGAATTCTAATTTTTCCCCTTTTTTTCTGTACATTTGCAGTTTAAGTAATCACTAAGTGAACAAGGACACAGCCCAGGAAAGTACTAGTACAACAACTATTCAACAACAACAGCAACAACAACTATTCAACAACAAACACCAACAACAAGAACTATTAACCAAAGAGCATAGCGCCAGAAGCCAGTAGCTGCCACTGAGCTTTCTGTCCTTGACAAGGACAGGAACCTGGCACACAGGCACACATAAGCCGCCAACATACGCAAAAAGGTGACCTCGAAGAAGGCCAGCGTTGTGACGGTTGACGACGATCACAACAACAATAACAACAGCAACCAGAACAACGACCACAACGCTCGGCAGGCACTCAACAACAACAACAACACACCAACAATAACAACACCCACACCAATCACTCCAACTCGTACACCAACACCAGCTGATTATCAGGATCAGGAAGAGCAAGAGCATCAGGATCAGCAGGAACTCCAAACAGGCGATATCATGGACGATACACAGCATTTTTGCCTACGCTGGAACAACTACCAGAGCAGCATCACCTCGGCCTTTGAGAATCTGCGAGATGATGAGGCCTTTGTGGATGTGACGCTAGCCTGCGAGGGCAGGAGCATCAAGGCGCATCGTGTTGTCCTTTCCGCCTGCAGTCCCTACTTCCGCGACCTGCTCAAGGTGAGTTTAATTTTGATATCCTTTTGGGGTGGAGACTTCCTCTATGGAGACTTCTTGAATGTTTGTTTTTGAGTATTTTAGTTGCTAAAAGTTGGTGTAAGATAAGATGTATCTTTAGGCAACTAAGTGGGGATAACAAAAGTAGCTTATATGATTTATTTATAGAGTTAAAGCGAACTGTATATGTGTGTGACCCACTTTGGACCCACTCTTTTCTCTCTATCTCCCTTCCTTGGACGTTGCAACACATGTGGTGTGCTCCAGCTTCAGTTTTCTGCTTCCTGGGGTGCTCTGTGCATGTATAAATTATATACTTAGCAATATAGTATAATATTTAATGCCAAAACGATCTTTAAGATAACTATAATCAAAAGAAACTGCAGAGAATTCAAAGCTATGACCCTTTAATTCAGGAATTATGGCATTTAGCTTGAATTTTAATTTATTTAGTTGCAAATGGAAGTTGGAGTTGGGGATTGGGACAGTTGAAGAAGTAGAAACAACTGCCTGCAGCAATAGACACGCCACATAAGGAAAGCCCGGAAGCCGGGGAAGTTGCAACACGGCATTAACTTGCCCGCCTCTTACTTAGTTTATTTTTTTTTGTTTCGTTTTTGTTTATTTTTTACTCAAAGAGTTTTTGCGGTGCAAATGAGTTGGACTTGGCAAGGACTCCTGTTTTTTTTTTTGCGGGACAACGCGGCGTATGATTGATTTGTGTGCTGCGATCATGCAACGCATAAGGCCTTCCTTCCCCTTGCCACAAAAACTAGACCAGGTCAAAAAAAAAAGGGGTGTAGAGTCAGGCTAATCCTTGAGGCACAAGTAAAGTTTTTTGCAACTAATGCAGGACCTCCCCACTTCCCTGGGGGGGAGCCCGCTTCATTATTTTTATTATGACATTAAAATTATGTGGATTCGCTGTTGTTGCCGACAACGACAACGACAACGATGGCGACGACGTTTGCCCGCCAAAACTTTGTGGCTTTCTGCCTCTGCCTCTGCATTGAAAATATTTGCACGCAATTGCGGTTTTTGAGCCAGTTAGAGTTTTGCCATTTTTGCCATTTGCATTGTTGCAAGCTGTCAGCAAAAAGGGGGGGTAGGGGCAGGGCGGTGGATTGGTACTGCAGCAGAAATTATATAAATTACAAAGTGCCCCGCCCTCCGTTGTTGCTCTGTTTACTCTGTCTCTTTCGACATGATTTGTTAACATGATAGAAAACTTGCTGCGCTTTCCTTTATTACAAACAAAAAAGACTGAGAGACAGAGAAGGGTTGTAGAGGAAAGTTGTTTGGGTTTTTCGGAATCCTGGCTTTTATAGTAACTGCAATTAGGAGAAACTCCTGGCTACCCAGCTCCACCTCCAGCTCCAGCTCCAGATGATTACGCAACACTGAACAGGACAGGTCTAAGGGAACCGAAACAAGAACATGTCAAGTTTGCTGGCAAAGTTTCTGTGATCCTCCTCCTCCTCTTCTCATTCTTTCCAAAATACAAAATACAAAAAAAAAAAGAACTGCAAAAGTCGGCATTTAATTTGTTAAAAAGGCCAACTAAATGCAGCGATACAACACAAAAAAAGAGGGAGCAAGAAAAACAAGAAAAACAGCAATGACAATGGGTTGGGGGGGACAAAAATTATTATGTACCCAAGAAATTAGTATACAAAACTTTGCTGGCCTGGCCTGGCAATGGGCTCTCTGGCAACAAACGAAAAAAGGCGGCACAAAACTTTGTAAATTCAATTTGAAATACATACAAGTGGGCACTGTCAGTCCCACGTTGGGCGCCAAAAAAAAAGAAATGTTAACCAGGACCAGGAGCAGGACCAAGGAGTAAGAGCTGCACAAAGAAGCCGGAGACAGAGAGTGGACAGAGAGGACAACTGTGAACTGTGAACTGGACTCGGCAAAACAGGAGACACTTGGCACTGTCCCAGCTACACAGGCAGGACCCAGGGACAAGAGACAACCCCCCAGAGTACTTGGCGTCGCAATTGTGCCCCGACTTTGCGCCTATGCATAAATATTTAATTAACTGCAGCGCATTATTTTAATTAGGTGTAAAAAAAAGAAAAACACTGACTACAACTGCTGTGAATCCTATGGGGAGGGAAGAGAACGAGGGTCCAGAGGTGTCTTAATAGCTGTTTGCTAAAAAAAGCATTCTGGCTTTTGTGTAACAACCACGCCCTCAAGGCAAGGCAAGGCATTTGCATGATGTTAATATTGTGTTGATGATGCCAATGCCAGCTGCAGAGATCGAGATCTTGCTTCCCTTAGCCTCCCCCAACAAAAGCTGACCTCGATTCTGCAATCTCTACCTCTTTCTCTCTCAGTGTGTTCAACTCAATCGCAAATACTTAATATCCAGTTGCATGTACATATGTACATACGTGTGTATCTGTGTCTGAAAGTAAATATAAGACAACGGATGCAACGATCTCCGAGGAGGCAGGCGGCAAGACTTGACCCAATTTCTAGTCAGGCAACACAGACATGGCATGCAAGCGAAGCAAAAGCAGCTCCCTTTGTTGGAGTTCCACTTGATAAGTGAAACTCATGCAGTAAAGCGGCACAAACTGGAATGCACTGGCCCTGAAAAAATAAAAGGGATTGGGTATGGGGATAAGGAGAGCGGAGTTGGAACCACACATGGCAGCTCTCGGGGGGGGATCGCAAGAGAAAAACGGAAAGCAAAAAGCAAAAAAATGAAACTTGTACAGAGAAACGTTCAAAATCGTTCAATTTGTGGTTATTTGTTATCTTTTTTAATTTTTTCGTATTTATATTTGTGATTTTCAGTCATATTTGAAGGTTGTCTGGGCAAGAAACAACATTAACATTGTGACTAATCCGAATTTGTATTACTTACTCACAGAGCACACCCTGCAAACACCCGGTCATATTGCTGCAGGATGTAAACTTTATGGATCTGCATTCGCTGGTGGAGTTCATATACCATGGCGAGGTTAATGTTCATCAAAAGTCGCTGCAGTCATTCCTTAAGACCGCCGAGGTGCTGCGCGTCTCGGGTCTGACACAACAGCAGGCAGAGGACACACACAGCGTGAGTATATAGAAACCTATATCATATCATATCATATCTATAAATCTCTCTATATTTCCCATTTGTAGCATTTGGCCCAAATCCAGAATCTGGCTAATGCCGGCGCCGGACGCACACCCTACAATTCGCATTCACACTCTCATGCCCACTCGCTTTCACATCCGCATCATGGCTCCTCCATACATGACGATGGCGGTGCATCCACATTGTTTAGCCGCCAGGGTGCGGGCTCACCGCCACCACCTGCAGTCCCATCGCTGCCCACGCATATCAATAATCAGCTATTGAAACGCATGGCCATGATGCATCGCAGCAGTGTTGCCGCCGAGGAGACTTCACATGCTCTAAAACGGCCACGTGGCTCTGATAATAACAATGGTGGCTTGCCACTCTCTGGTGGTGGCAGTGGAGGTGGTGTCGGTGGTGGTGGTGCTGGTTCCGGTAGCAATAATAATAGTAGCCCGGATTTGCCATCACTCCATCATGCCCGCAGCACTTCGCCCCAACAGACACCGGCTGATTTTAGCACGATTAAGCACCACAACAATAATAATACACCGCCGCTCAAGGAGGAAGGAAAGCGTAAGTTTTACCCAAGGATGTTTTTGGGAATATATTAATCTCAACTCTTTTTCTTGTTTTCCCCGCCCCTGAACAGGCAACGGACCCACTGGCAATGGTGCTAGCAATGGCAACGGAATCTCCATTAGCGATAAATTGGGCAGCTTGACACCATCACCTTTGGCTAGGGCTTCAGCCGGTGCCGATGATGTTAAATCGGAGCCCATGGAGCTGGTCTGTTCAACGAACAATAATGCCAATGCAAATGATGAGCATAGCAATGATTCCACCGGCGAGCATGATGCCAATCGTTCCAGCAGCGGTGATGGCGGCAAGGGCTCTTTGAGGTGGGTTATCCCCCAGCTTAACTTGAGATCTCTTGTTCTATATTTAATTAATGGATTATATTTGTAGTTCTGGTAATGATGAGGAAATTGGCGATGGTCTTGCCACACACCATGCCGCCCCGCAGTTTATAATGTCACCGGCGGAGAATAAGATGTTTCAGGCTGCCGCCTTTAACTTTCCCATGAGCAATCTCGATCACTCAGCGTTGCTTGGTGAGTATTTCGAATAAAACTCAACTAACTAAACTAATTACTAACTAAAGCTTCTCTCTGCTTTCTCTACTCCTTCTTCACTCTCTCTCCTCTTTACTCTTGCTCTATGTCTCTCCTTGTGGATCAATGGAACCTATCACTTACCTAGGTCTCAACACCCAGTTGCAGCAGTCCGGTGACCTAGCCGTTTCCCCCCAAGGTGAGTCCAAGCCTTTCACTATCCGTATTCTCTATTGTTCCGCTCTATTTGCGCTCAAAAAAAAATATTAAAAAAAAAAATATATACAAAAAAAGCTCATTATTACATTTTTTACATCAAATGCAAATGCCAAAAAAAAGAAAAGAAAAATATACAATTTTTTTTACCAAGAGTCAAAAAAATAAATATATATCCAAAGTCAGAATAACCCAGAATACTCAAAGAAATGAAAGGCAAAAGCAACCAAAGCTTAAAGTAAACTTATAAAAAAAAGAAAGTTTTAAGATTAAAGTCTAAAGTAAAGAAAAAAAAAATTACACAAAAGTCCAACAAAAATCCCAGACCAAAAAGATCAGGTTGCAAGTTGAAAAATTGCTTGAAAACTGCTCGATGAGAACCATTATTGATATATCCTTTGATTTGCCATATTGTTTTATCCCGTTGAATCTTATTTAATCCTGTTTAAACTTGTTACATCTTGATTAAATCGTTTTTGTTATCGTTTTGCTTTGGTTTTTCTTTTACTTATCGCTTTCGTTGTCCTTTTGTTTCTTTCGATTTTTGCGTTTGCCACTGACTGTCGGAGGACACACTTACCATATCGCACAGGTGTCGCTCAGTAGCAGGACTTTTGATTTAACTTTCGATTTATTTCCCGTTTGACTCAACTCTTGAAATCCGCAAAACCACCACCCCAACCAGCCCTCCCCAAAAAAAAAAGAAAAAAAAAACACCAATACCCGACCCCCTCAGTACGAATTCGAACTTGATCCTTGGAAGCATTACGAACCGAACGAACCGAACCGAAAGGATAATCCCAGAGAGACCCACTATTGCTCCTTGCGATTTCAAGTCGAGTTCCCATTTTAAGTCGTAGCCGTATTGAAGCGTATAAAAAAAATTTTCTTTTCTTGTTTGATTGTTTCGATGGTAAATGTTTTCATTTGTTTCGGTCACACACACACACACACACACAACCCACCACGATCACACCCCCATGACCATGACACACACACGTACACCTGCACCACCACATGCCAGGATAACAGAGAGGATCTCAGGAGTTAAAGACTATATAAGATGCACAACGCCTCTCTCAAAAATTGTCCTTATGAATTCAGCTTCTGGCTTTAGGCATCTCTTGTTTAAAAGCTGTGTACAAACCAATCACTCACTCACTTGCTTTTTATTCTGTTGTTGATGAACTTGCTTTATAAAATTAATTAACTTCCAAACCAGCGCCAAAGCCGCAGAGTGTTTAGCAAAATTCTATCACAAGTCCTCGCACCTCGCACATGTGTGAGTGCCTGCGGTTAGGCCGCAACAATCCTGGCTTTTAGCTATGGGGCTACCAGGCTTCCAGGCTCCCCCAGCTCTGAGCTCCCAGCTCTTTGAGAGCTCCTCCTCCTGATTGGTGTGTGTGTTTTTTCTTTGCTACTTGTATTTTGGCAGCTATTTTGCTCCATTCGATCAGCCATTAAAGCCACAGTTCACACCATGTCCTGATCCTTAAACCAAAAACAGAACCCAAAACAGTACCGAATGCTATAATAATACTAAACCCTGACGAAAGAGATTACTTATTTATGTGTTTATTATGTTGCTAAAATTGTTGTAATTCAGTGTTTAGTTTTCATTTCCGTTTCCGTTTCAGTTTCGTTGTTGTTTCTTATTTTCTTTGCATTGTTTCTGGTTTTTATTCGTTTCGTTTCATTTTTTGTGTGCTAAAGTAAAACCCAGCTAAATGTTAATTACTTACAATTCACAAGAAAAACAGCCAAACGCACTTACACACACAAAACACACACACCAACCCACCTCTGCATAGAGAAAAAAAATACGTCCCCTTAGAGTGAGAATTTTTGTTTAGTTTTCCCTTTTTTTATTTTTCAAAAATAAGAGTTTACTAATTATCAGTTTTAAATTTCAAACTTATAATTTCCCTTCAGTGTAGAAATCCAATTTGCCATTTTTGTTGTGTTGTTCCCACCCCTTTTCCGTTTTGTTTCATTCCAAAGTTCCAGAAGATAAGAAAAATATAAGAAAAAAAAGAAAACACTAGACATGAAACGGAAGAGAGAGCTCCTCTCTGTAACACCGAGTACATTTTGCAATCGAAATTTTATTGGTGTCAACTTTTTGTTTTCATGTAAAACGCAACGCATTTGAAGATCGAATATATACATAATACCCTTACATAATATATATATATATATTGAATATTGAACTCTTTCCTTTATTTGTACGTCGTCGTGCTTGTGTCTAAAACTATGTAAACCCAACCGAAAAAAAATTAATACAAATTAACCATCCATTGACCCTCTCCAAACCCCCCCAAAAAAACCCAACCAACAGCAAAGTCAAAAGAAAAGCTTTATTTTCAACAACCAACAACAACAACAACAAATTGCATTCGAACGAATTTCCACATTCATTTTCAATGTGTCTTAAAATTGAAAAGAAACAACTGCGAAGTCCCAAGCCCTGTCTCTGTGACGATGAGAAAGGACACTCTTTATTGGTCCTTTTTTCACTGTTCCGCTTTTCGGTTTTGTTCCATACCCCTGTTTCAGAGTTGTCCCATTGTCCCTTGAATTCGGCCATACACTCAGAAATACACACATTACAAACACACCACACTCCCTTCAATCTACAGGCTACAATAAAGATTATATCTGAGATATTCAAATAGGTTATCCTTCCGCGTTTAGGGGTCCTCTCACCTATTGGCATTTGATCACAGAAAACCCTCACACACACACACACACACACACCAAAAGTACAGTACACACAGTGCGTGCAAAGGCGTGTTTCGTTTCGCTCCGTTCCATTCCATACCGTTGTGTTTCAGCTTGAAAAAGAAACAAGGGAAAAGAAACAGCAAACAAGGTTACACTGCAGCTCATACAACACACACGCATAGACACACCACAGGACGCACACACACACACGCACACACGCACTACACCTTCTTCCCCCCTTGAAATGAAATAATGTGAAAAATCACTGAGAGCGAACCCCTGACTCCTTTGCCGTTTGAAGGAGTTGTCTAAGGACCCACACTCACCCGCTCACACATACACACACTCAAGCCCGCCCCCTAGCACACACTCGCACACCCACACCCACACCCACACACACATACATGAACTCTTTTAAGCGCTCCAACAGCTAACAACAATTAAAAAGATCTAACCTAGAGCTAACCTCTACTTTACTTTCCAATTGTACTAACCATCGACCAAAAAGGTCTCCCCCCAGAAAAAATATATATACATATATATATATATATACTACCCCAATACACAAACACACACACACACACAAACTGGTGTGATATTGTTAAGAATTGATTGATCTAACCTCACCCCACCCCTGTATACGTATTATAAATTCGCTTTACTAAAAAAAAAAAACAAAAAAAACTCCCAACTCCCCCAAAGATACAGCCACAGGCGACCCAAGCAGACAACTCGATACATGATACAATCTCACACCTTATCCTTTATCCTTAAGTACCCCTCACCCCCCAAACCCACAAACCCCACTTCCCCCAAAAACCAGCACTAAAACTAAAAGAACACAGAAAAACTGATCAAGAAAAACAACTCAAGGCTTCAAGTATATTAAATTGATTGATTGACAAACCGCTTTAAATTACGCTCTATATATATACATATATATTTGTTGCTATTCCTATTATTAAAAAAAAATACCTACATACACATACACAAGAACACAACAACAACCAACACAGAGGCAGAAAGAAGAATCAGTTACTTAGCTTTACGTAGAATTAAAACCCTAATTTAACTTTAACTCCTATGCAAAGGCATTCAAAATTCACTAATTTTAAGTTCCGATTTGAAACTAGAATCGAAAACAAAGAAAAAAAAAAAGAAATCGATAAAAATGTATCACCAATTATCGACTACCGATCACCAAACTATTTAAGTTACCAACTAAGCACACACAAAATTGATGAAAATCGATTGATCGATTGGTAAGCGGCAGAAGGAATGGAATTGTTATATCGTAAACTATTAGAAAACTGAAAATTGGAACCAGATTTGGAATATAGAAATCTTTGAGAAGCATTCCAACGATTCCAACAATTCCAACCCTTCCGAAGCTTCCATAAGCATAAAAAAAAACGTAGAAAAAAGAAAAGCTATGTAATCTAAGCACAATGTACATTTTACAAAATTTTTTGCCATCATGGAACAATTGAAATTCAAACTGAAAATTGAAAAATTTTAACTCGAAAACAATTAAAGTTAAGAGCCCAGAGAGAAGAGAGGGTGATGATGATGAATGATGATGAATATATAAGTGAAGAAAGAACATGACGGTGATTTTGGCGAGGGTTTAATTTTAGTGCTTATTAAGTGACACAGTTCCCCCCACCCCCCTTAAGCCCACACACACACAAAACACACACGCAACACACACACAGAGAGACACCAAGGAAGGCCAGAGAGAACACAGAGAACACGAACACTGGAAGAAGACACAGAACACAACAACTTTACCACTACTACTAGAACTTAACGGTGATGGTGTTTGACACACACACACACAAACACAAACACAGATACAGGGGAAACCGAACAACACACACACACTCCTCTTTAGCTCCTCCTCTCACGTTTGTATTTAAAAAATGAACAAAAAAACTTCCTCCTTTCTCCTATTCTAAAATCCCTTTGTAAATTACCACACTGCACACTTGGTAATGAGTTAAACAACAATTACAACCAACAACCAAACCCAACAACAAAAACAACAAACCAACAAACAACCCAAACACCAGCCAACAAACAACCTTTAAACCTTAAACAAAAAAAAAGAAACCACAAAAAGAAAAACAAAAAAGAATCTAAAGAAAACAAGAGAAGAATGATACCCTGAAGAATTTAGCGTCTCTCCATCAGTCGATCAGATCGAGAAGAAACAAAGAACGAATGAAACGAAAGAAACCATTAACAATTATCAATGTCGACGAACAATCAAAAAAGAAAACAAAAATTTTCTCATGCCATCCCACCCCTTAGCCCCGCACAGAAGAATTCCCCCAGAAGAATCAACGTTTTCTTTTCCACATCTGCCCCTTTACCCGATCTCGATAATGATCCTGATCCTTGCTCCAAATATATCTATCTATCTCTTTTGTCCCCTCTATATTTCCCTCTCTGCCTCTCTCTTCCTATATGTCTATTTATCTATCTCTCTCTCTATCTCTCTGTCTCTCTCTAATGTCACGCACAAGAAAAAGACAAGAAAAAAAAACAGAAAGAAAACAGATTGAACAATCGAAAAATAAATCCAAAGTTAAATTTAGCCAATTAGCTGAAGATGAAGTTAAAGTTGAAGTCGAAGCTGAAGCGGAAGCTAAAGCATACAAAATAAAGCAACTTACTTATATTTGATGCAAAAAATGCTAACGAAATTCATTTGTTTCGATCAAAAATCCGGCAAAACAGAAGAAAAGAAAACACAGAAGAAATTATGAAAGAATCGAGTCAAAATTCCAAAATTTCCAAATTTTCTAAATCCGAAGACATAATCCGAAGCCAAAGAGAAATTGAGGCAATTATAAACAAAATTCCAAAAAACCAATAAATAAAACTCGTTGTCCTTGGGCTAATGCGACGTTTTCTGACTTTCTTCCCCACTTTGTCGTCAGGTAAACTGACGACAAATTCTACAACTACAACAATAAACAACAACAACTTGATTACCAACAACAACAACAACAACGTTTACTCTCCACCAACAACTACAACAACTCAACAACAACCAACTACAACCACAACTCCAACTCAACTCCAACAAATCCATCACCAACAACAACAACAACAATAACCCGAACTCCAACTCGACTTACAGCCATCACAAGTGCCTCCGGCATCTGTGGCCTTAACCTCTCCACATTCGCAGCCAATGGAAGCAGCAACGGCGGCCTCTCGGTGACCGCTCTGCAGCAGCATCCACATTCGCATCAGCATCAGCATCAGACGTCGCAACACCAGACCTCACAGCAGCAGCAGCAGCAGCAGCAACAGCAACAGCAGCAGCAGCAGCAGCAGCATCAGCAGCAGGGAAGCAGCAGCTCTGGCAGTCAGACCCCCAATGGTATCCTGGGTTCCTGCAGTACACCAACGCCCAACACGGCGGCCACCACGGCCCAGCAGCAAATGTTAGCAGCGGTAATGGCCAATATGGCGGCCTCGGCCGCTTCGGCCTCAACCAGCGGCAGTGCCAATAGCTCCCTGAATAATTCCAATGCGGGTCTTAATACCTCGGGAGGCGGTGGTGGTGGCGGTGGCAGCAGCGGTGGCAACGGCGGACTCAGCAGTGCAACCAGCGGCGGTGATGATTTCCGTTGCAATCCATGCAACAAGAATCTAAGCTCACTGACACGCCTCAAGCGTCACATCCAGAACGTGCATATGCGACCCACCAAGGAGCCCGTGTGCAACATCTGCAAGCGTGTCTACAGCTCGCTGAATAGTCTGCGCAACCACAAGAGCATCTACCATCGCAACCTCAAGCAGCCCAAGCAGGAGCCGGGCAACACTGTGGCCGCCCAGGCACCAACGGCCAATAGCTTCTACCATCAGCAGCATCAGCAGCAGCAGCTAAATCATCACTCGTCCTCCTCCTAGGGCTTCATGTACTTTGACTATCAGCAGCCGCGCCGTCATCATCCACAGCAGCCGCATCACCACGTGACCCATGGCGGCAGGGATAGAGGGTTTTCCAGTTGAGGGGAGGAGGGTAGGGCTTGCCTTAGTCGATTCTTGTAAGACTTAGGGACACACACACACACACACACACACACTCACAGAAATGCAGAACGGTGCTTTTGTACACATATTTAACTTTAGGAAGGATCGTCCAAGCGACACACAGAGAGAGACACACTCTAGGCTAGTTACAATTAGTTGCCTTTGGTAGTTGCTAAGCACAGGATACACAGTTTATACAAGAGTAATCGATAGTCGTAGAAATTCAACTCTGAGAAAGTCATTTTTGTATTCAATTGTTTTTCTAACCATGATAAAGATCATGTCAAACCATGCCTTACCCATGCCCTACTCATACCCAACCCATTCCCTTTTCCATACCCCATTCCCAACTACTTCCCATTTACACACCATTATTGTCGTCAGCTATACAAGTCTTAATTACATTAAGTAGGAGCTAGAATATAGCAGCAAAGCAGAGCAGTGCAGAGCAGAGCAGGGGTGCCCGTAGTGAATTCTTCGAAATGGCTTTAACTAAATACAATTTATCAGATTTGCAGAGAAGAGCAGCGTGGCGTTGTTCTAAATTATATATATATTAACGATTATCGATCACGTTAGACGTACGATTTATCTCTCTCTTTCTCTTTACTGCACTGAAATAATGAAAGACCAAGCTAAAGTTTTACAGTTTTTACCTAAACACACACAAAAGCAAATATATATATATAAATATATAGTATATATATATATAGAATGTTGAATGAAAAAGCGTTACTATTTGACCAGGTTTAGGAGTATAGGAGAAAAGCGAAAGGAAGCGAGCGACCGACCGACCGAACGACCGACCAATTGCAAAAGATCTTTTCTTGAAATACTCTAACCTAGGTAACGATTCTGAATAATTAGATTTAGATCACACACACACCGTACACAACACCCTAGGCTAAGTGAAATGTTTAACCCATAGTGTGTAAGTCAATTTTTTTTCTTTTTTGCATTTTTTTGTATTGTATTTAATGTTAACCTAGTTATGCGATTATTATAAAATATATATATATAGAAGGTTAAGAAATGTTTTGACCCGGATACTTTGATATATTGAGTACACCTGTGTTCGTTAATGTTTAGTGCTGCTAAGTAAAGATACAGATAAGATATAACTATGATACAAGCAAATATATATATATATCCATATATACACCACACACAACCACACCACACCACAACCACATACACACACACACACACACAAGCCAATCAGTTGAGATCCATGTACGATGTACAATATAAGAGCGATTGCACTTGCGCTCTATATATTCGATTAATGATAATTACAATAAACGTCTACACATCAAAGCGAATATTTCATTTATCCCGTTCCCCCAGATATCCCAAGATCCAACAACTCTCCCAACCTGGTCTCAATGTTGTATGCATGTCACTCGAGGCGTCAGGCTCATACCGTGGAACCTCTAACCCCAAACTAGGGAACAAACTCACCACTACTTACCCTACTTCACCTAACTCACCACTCCGACCTGCGCAGTCCTGTCCCCGTCCAGAGCTCCTCAGTGTTTCATTGTCTCACGTGTGTTGATGCCCGAACACCGAACCGAACTGAATCGAACCGACACTTTCTCTCTCAGCTGCAGGATCATTACTTACTTTAAGCCCCATGATGAGCGAAACACAATTACTAATACTCAACCCACATCCACATCACCAACGTCCCTAGGTGACCCCGATCTCTCCAAACACACACACACACACACACACACCACCGACCATTGGAGAAAGTCGTTAACCTGTGTGTGTGTACCCTTAACCCCCCCAAAGAAACCAACCAAACCAAGCACGTTAATCTTACCGCACATTTGGCTCCCTATCCCAACCCCTATCCAGAACCCAACACAGGCAACGGTGCTGCGATTGAGTTTGAAAAAAAGAGACACTAGTGACAACCGCAAGAGCAAAAATTATTGACAACTTGCGACTTAACTAAAAAAAAAGAAATAACCGAAAAAAGAGAAATCAAATAATACTAAACATATTTTATATATATACAAAAACAAATCAATCAGGCCAAAACAAATGTTTCAAAATTTTGCTTAAAAAAAAACAAACTTAACAAAATCGAAATCGAAAACGACCAACGACAAACGAAAATTGAACGCAAACAAATTGGAATTAAAATTGATATCGAAATTGAATCGAAATTCGAACGATCGAGCAATCGATAGATCGAGAAATCCAAATCGAGAAACGAATCGAAGACAAACAAATTGGTTTAAAAAAAGCATCCACGAAACTCGAATCACACTCCAAAAATTATTGGCAAGACACCAACAAATCATTCACCAAAGAAAAGGTCTCACCCCCGCAACGCCGTTTGGTGTTCGGAGGGGACTTTCGAACTCGAACTCGAGCTTGAGTTCGTTTCGGGTTCAAGTTCGAGTTTGGGGTCAAGTCTGCCTAGTCGAGTCGAGTTTCGAATTAAAAAAAAAAAACCTTCCAACCTGCGGCACGAGAACTCTTCAAAATTCGAATTCAAGAACAACAATTATAACAACAACTACAACAACAACAGCCACAGCTACAACAATTACAACAACAACAGTCAACAAACCGTTTTATTACCATTTTATTTCCATGCGTTTTCCCCAAACCAAAAAATAAATAAAAAAACAAGGGAATGAGAAAAAAACCATAAACCGAAAATCGAAATGCGAATTGCACTCCGAATCTGAATCAGATTTTAAATCGAGAGAACAGCAGCTGCGTTCTTTCAAGCAAAATACATAGAAACAAAAGCAAATAAAAGCAAAATTAAATGAAAAAGCAAAAAAAAAAAAAAAACTTGCGAACTTAGCAAATTTACATTGTTTGAGCCTGGATTTGTTAGTGTTATATAAAAGTAAACAAAAACAACAACAAAAACAAGAACAGACACACCAAACAAGACACACTAACAATACCAAAAAACAAACCACACGACACGAAAACACCACAAACCAAAAACCAACAGACAGACATACATTTACTAAACAACAATTACAAACAAGAAACAGAAACAAACAGAAAAAAAAATAATAACAACAAAGTCAAATATACAGAAAAGTCACTATTGTCTCTTTTTTTCTTCTCTTCCTATTTTTATGACCGTTTAGGTGGCAACACCGGCAGCCTACTCGGCGGCGTCATAGTGCCCGGCGGTAGTGGCAACCCTAGTAATAGTAGTAGCAACAACAACAACAACAACAGCAGCAACAACAACAACAATCAACAACAAGTAGACCCAGAATCATCACCACAACAACACCATCAACAACCACACCACCACCTCCTCCAACAACAACAACAACATCATTCCACAACACTCACCAACAGTCCACAACCACAACAACAACTGAAGCAAAGCGGCAAGTCCAGCGGCAGCGACCTGCACATTGCCGCCGGGAGCGAACGTAGCCTCTCCCGCTCCTCACTGGGCGGTGCAACGGAAACGGGTCACAGTGCCACGCCCTCGCCCAGTGCCTATCTGAAGCGAGAGCGAGAGCGGGACAGAGAGCGTGAGCGGGAGCGCGAAAGGGAACGGGAGAGGGAGCGGGAGCGAGAACGAGAACGAGAGCGTTCATTATCCCACGATCGAGAGCTGGATGGAGGAGTGGGAGGAGGAGGAGGCGGAGGAGGTGGCGGCGGCGGCGGAAACGGAGGATCACCATCCTCGTCGCCATTACAACCACCACCGCCGCCGCCCTCCTCACATCATCCGCACTTTGGCCAACATCCGCTGTCGCTGCTGCCCAGCCACCATCAGTTGCATGCCACCCACCATGAGTTGAGTGCCGCCGCTGCCGCTGCGGCTGCTGCCCATCATGCCCATGCCCATGCCGCTCATGCAGCCCATGCCCATGCCCTGGCCAGGGCGGGATCACCGTTGGAGCATCATCATGCCCTCATGCATCATCGCCGGGCATCCCTATCACCATCGGCGGCCGCTGTGGCTGCTGGCAATGCAGCTGCCTCGCAAAGAGGCAGCAGTAATAGTGGAGCAAGTCCGGCCGGAAGTCTCCTATCCTCGGTCCGTGCCCAGGATGTGGCACAGGCGAATCGATTGCTTCTACCCTTACCCCTGAATGCGTGCCATCGATGCGATGTTTGTGGCAAACTGTTGAGCACCAAGCTCACCCTGAAGCGACACAAGGAGCAGCAACATCTGCAACCGTTGAATAATGCCGTCTGCAATCTGTGCCACAAGGTCTTCCGCACTTTGAACTCGCTGAATAATCACAAGAGTATCTATCATCGTCGACAGAAGAATCATCATTCGTATTTCCATCATGGTGGAGGCGTTGGCCAAGCCGTTGGCAGTCCTGGTAGCCGTCTGCATCAATCCCTTAGCTCGCTGAGCGCTGCAGCAGCTGCGAGTGGCGGTGGTGCTGGGGGTGCCGGTGGTGCTGGTGGCAATGCTGTGGCCGCTGCCGCAGCAGCAGCAGCAGCAGCCGCCGAATTGTTGCTATCACCCATCGTGGGAGCTGCTGCGGTGGCCGGTGGAACGGCCAGTTCAACGCTACAGCTGGCGGCGGCCCATCAGCAGCAGCAACAGCAGCAGCAGCAACAACAGCAGCAACAGCAGCAGCAGCAACATCAGCAGCAACAGCAACAATCATCGCCGGGCATTGTCAAACCGTGCATGGATTTCTTATAAGATCAGCAGCAACTCTTGCAGCAGCTGTTCCACGTGGCTCTCAATAACTCTGCGGCAGCAGCGGCGGCAGCAGCAGCAGCGGCAGCTGCAGCGGGACCAGGATCGATGGCGCAGGGTGCAGGAGCAGGAGGTACCGGTGTGGATGGTGTTGGCGTCGGTGGTGAGTACGGACCGGGAACGGGTGGTCCAACGGCCACCGTGGATCTCACACAGCTGGAAGGCGGTGGTGGTGGCGGCGGCGGCGGCGTCGGTGGTGGTGGATTTCATCATTTGCCGCATCATTTGGGCCATCATCAGCATCCGCTGTCGCATCAGCATCCCCACCAGCTGCCGCATCCGCATCAGCATCCCTACGAACGCATGAATTTATTAGATCAATAAGCGCAGGAAAGTATGCTACAGAGAGCAAGGAAATGTATGAGGAGCTGAAGCTGGAACAGCACAAGCAGGAGTAAAAGGAGGAGGAGGAGGAAGCACAGCATACACACACACACACACAACCTCAACACCCACACCAACACCAACACACACACACACACCATGTATATTTCGGATCTCACAGAAAGCGAAAAATTCAAAGACTTTTTCGGCCAGGACAGCGACGGGAAGCCAGCAAGGATACCAAGGAACCGAACGAACGAACCTAGGAGAGAAGAGACAAGGATAAGGAGAGAACAAAGAGCAAGAGAGAGAGAAAAAACCAATTTTTAGGCAAATGGAAAAACTGTGATTATATTTACGACTTGATTATAAAGCAAGCGGAGAAACAAAAATAAGTCTTTTACAATATAAAAAAAAAAAAACACTGGACATAAAGGACTTGCATAAAGGACACGTGCACACACACAAACACTCACTCACACGTACATATATAAGGATTTTTTTTTTTTGTAACTCTCCCAAATTGGGAGACCGTGAGTTTTAGAAGAGCAAAATCTAGAAGATTTTAGGATAGAAGAAAGCAAACATCAGCAGCCGGGAGAGAAGACTGTTAATCACTCATTCAAAACATTCAAAACCCCCCCCCAAATCCAAAAGCACTATCCGAGTATTAGTCAAGGGGAATACCCGATCATTACGAATCCCAATCCTTACACTTTTTCCGGTCTTTGTACAGCATTTTCTAATATCTATTTCTTCATCCACACACTCAAAAAGTACATAAAACTAATGCATTTTTTTTGTGAAATTTTTTTTATTATGTGTATTATAGTAAGATATCAGATATCAGAGAAGATATATATAAATATAAAACATATGTGTACACTAAAAATATTCATGAAATGAGTAGTAGAGCCAAGGTCTATGTAAAAATCACCATGTAAACTTAGACCTACTAAAAGTAAGTCATGGAAAAACCAGATGAACTGTGTGTGTAATACAATTTTTTTTTTTTTACTTATAATAATACCAACATAATAACTATAACTATACGAATACAATATATGGTAAGACTATGGACTCACAAAACACATAAATACACACAGCAAGGCCATATATAAATCTTGGATAAGATCTGAAGGGGATTGTATATAGAACTGAAAGTGAAACTGAAGCTGAGGGGGGCAGACACAGAGAAGAAAAAGGACTAGGACAAGGACTGACTAGCTTTAAACTCAACAAATTCAATTGTCGATTGACAACAACGACGGTGACTATATATATATATATATATACGAATATGTATATGCTTTTCCCATTGGCAGAGACACAAACACACTATACTGAACGCATAATCAAAATTGAAGGGATTATTAATTTGCTTCGCACCTTACATTAATTTGAAGACTGAAGATTGAACGATCATTCGAAGTGGAACTTCGTGCAATTTCATCTTGAGAGAGGAGATCGGACAGGGGACTGAATACGGTAGAGATGAGAGATATGGATCAGTAGTAGCCTTAGTTAAAAGTGGGGGAAAATGGGCCTACCAGGGTATCTTTACATACCAATAAGGGAGCTCGAGCGGGACAAAGAAAGCAGAAGCACGAAGCAGAAACAGAAGCAAAAGCAGAACCAGGAGCTACAAAGCTGTGTGCGAGTATAGTCGAATTTTATTTTTTATACAAAAAAGAAAGAAAAGAAAACCGAAAAAAGAAAACCTATTATAATTAGCACTTAGTGTAACACTCACACCACACACACACACACACTTACACATACACACCGACCGACATGATTCCCCATTATATACCCTATTTTTTTTGTTCTTGCTTCTTTTGGCAAACCGAAAAGTCTGAAAAGTTGATTAAGTTTGATATTAATCATCCACGTTTTGATACCAAATTTTCGATTTACTTAGCCTATGCGACATACTATATATATACACACATGACTATAATAAGTTTAACGTACCGAAAATACTGTGTATACTGTGTATTTTACTTACATATAAGGGAGAACCCTCCGTGTTTGTAATGCCCACGCGAGAGATCAGAGATCACAGATCAGATCAGAGATAACCGAACCTCATATCCACAAATGTCACCTCGTTTTTATTTAATTATTATTATTATTATTATTATTATTATTATTATTATCATTATTATTATTATTATTATGCTCAATAAATGTGGAAATGTAAATGTAAATGTAAAATCCAACTACAACTAAATGTTGTTTACAATATCAACTTGTACCACTTACTAAAGCAGAAACCAGAATATTCACACACACACTCAGTCCACATGTGAGTACAGAACGCAAAACTCCAACTCTATGCCGAGGGGGAGAGAGGAGGAGGAGGAGCTAAGCTAACCACTAACTAAACTAAACTAACTAAATAGCATATTGATACTCGAAATAGCAGCAGTAAGAACCCAGAAAGCATACACAGAAAGCATATACCGAAAAGCAGAAACCAAAAAAAAGCAAGAATACCTATCCATAGAAGGCCTGCTTAACGATACTATGGTTGGTTCTTTTTTTTTTAATATATATATTCCTATTCGTGTAGTTGAACCCCCCACAAGTCATACCTTTTGCCAGTTAAGTCAATGTATGCATACTCCAAGCTCCGTATTATCCAATGAATCATTAGCTCCAAGCCACAGAAAGCTTACAATTACCATTACAATTACAATACGCGATATAAGAAATAAACTAACTACAATAACAGTAACGGTAACAGTAACAAGTAACAGTAAACAATGCAGTAATAGTAACAGTGCAGTAACAGCAACAGTCAAAGTACAGTTACTGTAACAGTACAAAAACAAATGCATTTACTGTTACAGTAACAGCTGCTTTAACAGTAACAATACTGTAACTACATGGATATACAAAATACATATTTAAAATAGCAAAAGGAACCCCAAGGAGCAACATTCAATCGAATATAATCCATGGAAATAGAGACACACAGACATAATCTTGGTATACCCACCAAGACGACAGACAGGAATCAAACAGAAACCAATTCAATATACCAATATCTCATCTAGTACAGACGCTTAAATACTAATAGCGTTAGAAATAATAACTTAACCATAACAGAGATACCAAAACCGAAACCGAAACCGAATCCATAGCCAAGACCCACTCCAGATCAAAGATCTATAAAATCAACAACAATAGCCACAATAGCAAACAAAGCAAAGACATACAAATTTTTATTTGGCGACCGTGATGTAATCCCCTAAAAATCATCATAGAACAAGGCAAACGATCGTAGATCTAGCCCCGACAACAGTGAGAATGAAACAATAGTAACAATAGCCTGAATACCAATAGATAAAGATGATACAATTTTTTCATTTTGGCAACCTCGTGATCCCCACTCACAAAACTATACTTACAATAAACACACAACTTAAGAATAATAACAACTATTAAGTTTTCCACTCTAGCCTAGTAAGAGAAAATGTACATTTTTGTCTCCCGTGTAATGTACACACCTGTGTATATAAAAGCAAAGGTGCCAGCACTTAAGAAGCCCATTAAAAGAAACATCCAACACAGATTTACATAACATACATTTTACATATATCACATATGAGTATATGTATATGCAAAGCAAAAGAAGAAACGAAAAATAAGTAAACAAAGTTTTCAATAATTACTAATTTTACGAATTTGTGTAACAAAAAAATAAGACAAAAAAATAAGAAACAACAAACAACATTCATTTCGAAGGAAGGACACTCACACTCGCATTCACACTTACACAGACAGACAGAGACATCATCAAGGAGACGAAAGTATTTTCATAAAAATAAAAACAAACTGATATCGTGTTATTATTTAAATAAATAGAATGTATATAAGTGAACAATTGTATGTGCCGAGGCTTTCTTTCTTACTTGTTGTGTGTGTGTGTTTCTCCCTGAATCCCTGATGGGGGGAGGGTCTTGGGGGGAAAGGATAATGGGAGCTGATCCGCTACTAACCCTGCTACCTGTCTCTGACTCAGTCCTGGTCATCATTGTGTGGAGTGCCTTAACCCATTGACATTGACTCTACCCGATTCTACTTCATCCTGCAGCCTGTGTCCTTGTGTCCCTGTGTCGCTCTCAGTGTTGAACCCCCCTGTTGATCATCGGGCCTAACGTCTCTTAGCTAGATTGCTATTTTTAATTAAGAAAAAACAAAAAAAGAAACCACCTTAAGTCACCCATTTACACACACACTACCCCTACCTACCATATACCCAACCGATAACCGATAACCGATAACAACGCTCTAGTCGTAACCTGTAACTGTTAACTGTTAGTCGATAACACGGCCCATTGTGGTGTTGGTGGTGCACTCACCCCTCACCCCACTCCACAGATTCAAACGTATTTTTGTTATGTATCCTGTATATGTATTGTTAATTATTAATGTCCTTTTTTTTGCCATCACTAGCGTACACGCATGAACATGTCATGACCTGAGCCGCAGGACATTTTCATGCGTGAACGAATCACACATTTCAGTTCCCCTAACCCCCGACCCCACCAGAGAGTGTGCTCCTTTTAATGGGAGCAGAACATAAATCTCCGAGAAATCGATTCTCTTAGAATTGGTAACTGAACCCTACAAAAGAAAATATCAAATAAAAAACCTT